CCCAGCGTGCAAACCCTGGCCTTGTGTGTCGACTCCTGTGGTTTGATGATCACAAATGTGGGTTTCCACACGGTCACCCCGTCGTCAGGAAGTGGGTGGGACTCTGCGTGTGGGGCTCACATCATGCAACCTCGCTCACTCCTGGATTTCTCCAGTGTGGCTTGTTTCTCTTTTGTGTCATTTGTGGGTTCCCTGGAACCTTCCGGCAGATGCCCGCCTTCCCCTCGCCCAGCTGGCGAGAGTGGGGGTGCCTTGCCTCAGGCCGGGTCCCTTCACCTCGAGTGTTGGGTGGGCTTGGCAGACGCTCTGGACCAAGCTGGTGACTTCCTTGCTATTTTGATTTTTTTTTTCCAAATCAAAAAAGAGTTGAATTTTGTCAGATGTTCCTTCTGCATCGGCTAATTGCTCACGCACTGTGTTTTAAACCCTGTTTATACAGTGGGTCCTGTCGGCTGATTTTCAACTATCAACCGTCTGGCACCTCTGGACTAAACCTCGCTGAGCAGATCGGGCGAGTCCTCCACCTGGGCCGAGGTTGAGTCCATCTCTCGCCATGGAGGGCGTCAGCCTGAGGTTGTTTTTCTTGTGTGCTCTTGGTCAGGTTGAGTATTGGGTTTGGAATAGAAGATGAGAATATATGTGCCATCAGTGCTCTTTAAATGGCTGGGGGAATTCTCCAGAAACAATCCAGGCAGGAGACATTTCTTTGGGGGAGCTTTAAAGCCATAAATTCAATTTATGGCTTTAGCTCTCCCAGTCCGGAGGGCTTGAGTGCCCGGCTCCTCAGGACCCGGAGGCTGAGTCTCACGCCTCCTGCACCTGGCTGCCGGCCCCGCCCATGCTGGTCATTTGTCTCTTTTTTATCAATTGTTAGAGGTTTGTGAATTTAACCGGTCACTGCTTTTCTTTTCTCAATTTCACTGATTTGTCTTAATTTTACCATTTGCTTTGGTTTATTTCGTTCTGCGTTCTGCTTTTATTGCGTTTCCTAAGCTCTGCCGCAGCAGGCTCATTTCCAAGTGTCTCGGAATTTCCATCTTCCTGCTTAGTGTCGTCCGTTGTGGCCCGAGGACACACCCGGTGTGGTTTCCACGCCTCTGCATTTGTTGGTTTGTGGATGGCCTGGGGGAGGACCCCTCCTTCTGCATGTTCTGCAGGCCCCTGGGGACATTCCAGGTTCGCTAGAAAGCCACGTGGGCCTCCAGCCGAGTGAGGTGCCAGGCGGCTGTGTGTCAGCTGCCGACGGCAGAGGTCGGGTCTGCGCCCCGGCTGCAGCTGCTCTCTCCGTCCCCGGTCCTGGCGGCTGAGCGGCATGGCCTGCAGGCTTGGGGCTGCCATGTCTTCCCAGGAGGCCTCTCTCACTGTCCCGCTCTGCTCCAGGCATCTGCTTCGTCCCAGAGGTGTGGTGCCGCCTGCTCTGAGTCAGGTCTCCCTCCTCTCACACCTGCGCTTGTGGGCTTGGCGCCGCCCTCCCGGGCTGTCCTGTCTCCCGGCGGCAGGGCGCTGCAGCCAGGGCTGAGGTCTGCCTTCTATTCTCTCTTCTCTGTCTTTTTTGTTTCCTCAGCATTTTCCTGCACCCTTTGGGTGATGTGAGCATTTCTCACTCCATTTAATCTCAGTGTTTTTCGGTGTGTTGCTCTGTGAGGACTTCTTCGGGTTGGTTCTGTGTGACATCGAGGGCCTCACACGGTGAGGTCACAGTTGACCTCAGTCTGATCTCCCTCCAGCTCCGTTCACTCCCCCCATTTATAACTGTCTCCCACGCTTCCTTTACATGTGTCAAAAATGACGATGAGACAGAACGTCGTCACACAGTTGATTCCAGAGGAGCATCTACTGTTCTGAACCACTAACGGTTCAGTGTTATTCCATCGTGTTCTGTTTTCCATTGTGATGTTCTGGAATTCCTCGTTCTTCCCTGGCAAGAACTTCAATTTTTTTAAAAAAGATTATGTTTATTCATGTATATAACTGGGGTGCAGGCCAGGGAGGCCCACTGATTTCTTCATTCGTTATTATTTTTGTTTTATTGGAAAGATTTATCCATCTGGGCCTCCCTGGTGGCGCAGTGGGTTGAGCGCAGCGCTGTGAAGCTGTCCGCGGCCTCTGCAGCGCGGGTTTGATCCCCGGCCGGCCAGGGAGATTCCCACATAGCACAGCAGACCTCTCCTGTCTCCTCGCTGTTCCCCTCAGCAGTGTGTTTCAGTCCGTCCGCCTGTTCTACTTCCTACTCTGTCTCTGGTGAATCCTCTCACCCTCCCACACATCTGGCCTGTTCTCCAGCTCTTGTATAAATAAAAAAATTCTTTAAAAAAAAATTATCCATTTATACATACAAAAACTAGGGTATAGGCCAGAGGTGTGCGGGGGTGGTAGCACTCCCCAGAGACAGAGTGGGGAACAGAACAGGCGGTTTCACTGAAATCCACTGCTGAGGGGAGCAGCGGGGAGACAGGAGAGGTCTGCTGCGCCATGTGGTTAGCTCCCTGGCTGGGGATTGAACCCGCACTGCAGAGGCTGCAGACAGCTTCATAGTGCCATGTCTTAATCCCCTGCACCACCAGGGAGGCCCCTAATTTCCTCATTCTTTAAAGATCTTCTCATTGGACATGGAATGAATCCCAAACTTGGGTGTTTCTCTTTTACACTTGACAACTCTGGCTTCTGTGGTTTCTAGTGAGAGATGCACTGTTGTTCAAATGGGCTGTTTTCTCTGGAGGGGAGATCTCCTTACTGCCTTCAAGACTTTGTCTTTGCCTTTAGTTCTCAGATGCCTGATAACTACGCACTGTGTTTGTGGGCTCGGCCGCTAGAGCCACAGACCTGTGATTTTAACAACGGAAACTTTCTCAGTTGTGGAGGCTGGAGTCAAAGGCCAGGAGCCAGCAGGTCCTGGTGGGAGGGCCTGGCTTGCAGGTGGTACCTTTTTGCTGTGTTCTCACATGGGGGAGACAGAGAATGAGGGGGAGGCGACGGTCACAGACTTGTTTTCTGCACCCACTCGCTAAATCTCAGAAGTTTCTCCAGAGGCTTTAATCACGTGCACCGACCATCCAGGGGGCCTCAGCACCCGCTCTTTCTCAGGCTGTGTCCCTGGGCAGCTTCTGGGAGCAGAGAAGGTGAGAGGCACCTTGCTCCCCGGCCTCCCTACAGGAAGCTGGTGGCCGCCTCACTGACACTCCCTGGCTCCCCACGCCCACCTGGCATGCCCTTTGGGGCGTGCCCTTGCCAGAGGCTCTGCAGGCAGTGCTGGCAGAGCCCAGCCTCCTCCAGGCCCTGAGCTCCGGGCCCCTGAGGCACCCGCTTCGCTCAGCTCATATGGTTAGTCTGTCCGCTCAGCGGAGAGCCCCGCACGGCTGCTGAAGGCAGCTGACTTTCCATGGCACCCCCGCTAGACAGAGGCCTCCCCACCTGAATGACAGCCTGGCTGCTGTCACCTCTTCCCCAGGCCGCTGGTCTGACAGGTGCTCAGGTTCACAGGGGTCACTTCTTTGACCTCCACACATGGAAAGGAGTGTGACCTCTGCAGGTGAGAGGCCGTCTGGACCCCTGGGCCTGGTAGGTGCGCCTCAGGCAGGCCACAAAGAGTGGGCAGCCCCCACACCCAGTCCTCATTATGCCTAAGATGCTCCCCTCTGAGCTGTCGGGGCTCCCGGGGCCCAAAGCTCCGGCTCCAAGGGGCCCAGGGGGCAGCCTTGGGGGCAGGGCACACCCAGGCCCGGCCCTCATCCGCCTGCGCACGTGGGGCAGCCTCTCCGGCCTCCTGTGGCCACCGTTCTGCAAAGCCAGGGTCGCTGGCCAGCAGGGACAGAGGACGGATGGGAGCAGAGAGGGAGCCGGCGACGCGGACAGGCCGCTCTGCCGTCTCGCGTTTACGCCACGCCGGGGCCAGGCCGCGGGCGCCCAAGAGGCCACACGCCGGGCCAGCTCCCGCCTGGCCCAGGGGCCCGAGATCCCCGCGGCCGCGCGTCTGTGCCTGCGGGGCGGCTTCAGGCGCGGAGACGAGCCGGCCTGCGCCCCCCCGCCCGCCGGCGCCCGCCCCCGCCGCGTGGCGAGGCCGGCGGCGCCGCCCGGCCCAGCGCCGCTCTCCACCCGCCGCCACGCCGCCGGGAGGCCGGGCTGGGGGCTCGGCTGCGGGCCCGGGCGCCGCCTCCCCCGGGCGTCGGCCTCCAGGGGCCCCGGCCCCGCGGGGTCGCCGCGAGGGCCGCCCGCGGGAACCCAGGCGCCGCCCCGCCGCCCCACGGCTGGGGGCCGCCGGACCGATGGCGACCGCCCGGGGGAGGCCGACCGCCCCGCCGCGAGTTCAAGGGGGGACCCGCCCCCGGGCCCCGCGGATTGGCTGCGCGGCCGGCCGGCCGGCGGCGATTGGCCGGGCCCGACGCCTCTCGGCGCGCACGCCGCGGCCGCGCCCACTTCCGCCGCCGGGCCGGCGTCGGTCGCGATTGGAGCCGGCCGCGGGCCGCCCCGCCCCGCGGGCGACGTCACTACCCGGCGTGCCGCGCGCTTCGCCTCCGCCCGCTAATGTTTTGGCGGCTCCAAGATGGCGGTGCAGGAGTCGGCGGCCCAGCTGTCCATGACCCTGAAGGTCCAGGAGTACCCGACCCTCAAGGTGGGCGGCGCGCCGCGCCGGCGGCTCTGCGGCCCGGGCCTGCGGGCGGGGCTCCCCGGGGCTCTGCGGGCCGGGCGCCCGGGCCTGGCGGGCGGGCCGGCTCCGCGGGCGCAGGGCGCCGGGGCCCGGCCGGGCCGGGCCGCGCTCCCGGGGCTCCGCGGCGGGGCCGGGCGCGGGGCCGGGCGCGGGGCCGAGCCCGGGGCGGGGCGCGGAGCGCGTGTGGCCGCGTCTCGCGGCGGCGGGCCGCGCTGCCTCGCCCCCAGCGCCCCTGCGCGGCCGACGGGGCCCCTTTGTCCGGGCGCGGGCGAGCCCCGGGCCGGGGCGTCGGGGGCCGGGGTGCGGGCGGCGCGGCGTCCGGACCCCCCGAAGCGCAGGGGCAAGGACGTGGCTCCAGTCGCTCATCGGGAAGCCTGGCGGCCGGGCCCAGCCTCCGAGCGGAGCCCATTTTGCTGGGCGTCACCAAACCTGAAATACAGCCCTGGCCGCCGGGTCCGCGGCCGCGTGACCTTGGGCGGCAGCCTGGCCAGGTCGCGTTCCACTGGGATGAAACTGGTGTCCCGGCAGAGGCGACCGGACCTGGGCCTTCCCGGGCTGGAGGGGCGCTTGATACGGCGGACTAGAACCCCTGGGGAATCACTCCTTGGAAGACCAAGGTCAGGACACTCCCAGGAGGGCTGTGGCTGAGCGCTGCCCGATCTGGGTTCCTTTCCTGGGGCCAGGCAGCCTTTGCACGCCCTGTGACATCTGGCAGTGGGTGCAGTGCGTGGTGTGAGGGCTGGTGTGAATCCCGCCTTCCGCACACCCTACTTACTGGGGTACCACCGATGGGCACTTTAGTGTGCCAGGCGTGGGGATGACAGCGCCAGCTAGCCGGAGGTTGAGAGAGAGCCCAGCATCTCGCCTGGGCTCATGGGAGCAGGCAGGCCTGGGCTCGTGTGCACACCTGGATGCCCAGGACACGGAGCCCACCGGCACACATCCTGCCTCACGGGGGAGGAGGTGTGTGTTTGCAGACTGAACCCCACTACAACCCCATGGCTCAGGCGCCATGTTGCCCAAGCCTTGAGTAACATACATGGGGTGGTGTTTACCCGCCTACCCCGCCCACCCCATCCCACCCCACCCCAGTGGATGAGGTATAGGTGCTGGACTGTTAACTGCTGACCTCCATGTGGGAGGGTCGAAGGTCAGAACCGTGAAGGTGGGGAAGCCTTCTCTGGTGGGGGAGTGGGTCCCACGGGGGTGCACCTGCAGGGTCAGGGCTTTCTTTCTGGGACGACCTTAAAAGCACATTTTTGCAGTTAGAGAAATTGCCTCCACTATTTTCCTTCCCACGCACCTTTGAGCCCGTGTCCTGATGCTTTCTGCCTCTCAGTTACTGCTGAGTTAACAGTTTTTTCTTAGACATTTCCAGGAGAAGTTGCTAGCAGACCCAGAGGAAGCTTTCCTGACCAGGGAGCTTAGTTGGACGTGTTTGTTGGAATGAGGAGGAGCAGTTGGCAACCCAGCCGCGCACTGGGGCACGGAGCAGGCCGGGCGCAGCTCAGGCAGGGCACCAGGCAGGGCAGGGAGGGCTGGCAGGGCTGCTTCTGCTCTCCCCTGGCCGGGGGCCTGCCCTTGTGCCTCCCCACCTAGTGGGTCCTTCAGACTTGGGGTTCCTCGCAGCCTGGGCTGGTAGAGGCTCCTGGGACCTTTTGCTCTTCTGGCCGCATGGGAAGAGAGCAGCTGCTGTGGAGCGCTGTCCCAGGCACTCCAGCCTTACACCCGGCCCTCCGATGGCTGCCTACCTTCCTGCCTGCAGGCGTGGGCAGGAGTTCTGTCCCTGGGAGTTACATGTGGGGTGTTCAGCAGCACCCTACTTCTGCCCAGCAGGTGCTAGTTGCATGCCCCTCAAATGCTTCCAGACACGGCCAGATGGCCCCTGAGGGCCAGTGGGCCCGACCCAGCCCTCAGGATATTTGCTTGGGCTCCCACGGCAGTGTGGGGCCTGAGTCACCGCTCCGTCCTGCCCTGGCTGCCAGCCCTGTGCCACCCTGCTGGCCACGTCCCACGGGGCTTGTGCCCTGCGGGGCTCCCCAAGGGAGTGAGGTCCTGGGGCAGCGCACCCGCTTTAAGCCGCAGTCCTGCGGGAGCAGGCTCTCCTGGTCATGACGAAGTCTGTTCCCGTGCAGGTTCTGCTGCGCAGAAATGTCCCTGGCTGTGGGTGTTTTTCCCTGGGGTAACTGAAGGACAGTAACGCTTTCCTGAGCTTTGTCACCACCTATACCTGGTGGGAGTCTCCGGCCCAGGGCAGGTTGGCCAGTGGCAACCGGGAGCCTGGGGCCCTGGGGCCGCTCCATCCTAGGCTGAGCCTCGCCTCGGCCCCGCTCGGCTCCTCCGCTGTCCTCGGGACAGCTGGGCACTGGCGCTGCCTGGCCGAGTCCGAGCGCTCTTGGGGCCTGCGCATTTCGCTCTGGCTCGCGGAGTCTGGCTGGCGCGTGCTGGCCTGGGCCTCGAGGCCCAGGTTTGTGTTCACAGGAAGTGCAGAGCGGCCGGAAAGTAGGGAGCACTGGCCAGTCAGTTTTCCCAAATCAGTCTTGTCTGGACGTGGGGACCTATGTCCTTGACTTCCGGGCACACCGATGAGCACGAGGCCCCTGGATGGAGAGACCGGCGGGGATTCCAATCCTGGGGCTGTTGTGTCCCAGCAGCCGCAGGCGGGTCTTGACCTTTTCTTCAGGATTTATGACTTACACAGTGAGCGGCCCCTCTCTCTCAATGAGTTGGTGGACACCGAGGACCCCGCCTCATGGCCCCTTTTCCTGGGTAAGGCCCACCTGCCCTGCCCTGGAAGCTTTCCTGCCTCAGGCCCCGCTGCGTCGGGGGTGTGGGTGGGGAGGGGCTGGCACTCCCGTCTGTGCTCACGGCGCAGCTAGAGGAAGGGTCTCAGCCACTTGTGTCTCTGGGCCCCGGCCGGGGGGAGGGGCTCCACCAGGACCCCCAGCTTTGGGGGTGATGTTGAGAGAGCCGAGCTCAGGCAGGCCTGTAGATAGTCGGGGAGGAGGTGCTGGTGCCTGCCTGTGCCCAGGGCAGTGAGGCTTGTGCAGTCAAGCAGCGAGACAGGTGCTGCTTTCGCAGCTTGGGCAGCCTGGGTGCTTTGGGCGTGCCGGGGTGTTCCCACGACAACGAGCGGTGAGGCCTGGGTTGGTGCCATGTCTCCTGGAGGGGAGGCCTTGGAGCAGGTTGGCACTGGCCTTCCAGGCTCTTAGGGACCCGGGCGGGGGACTGGGTGGCATGGCAGGGGTGGTGCCGGGGAGCTGTATTTTGGGCGTTGGAATTTTGGAAGACCCTCCCACCAGGCGTGCAAGCAAGCTGGGAAGACCAGCTGGCGCTGGAAGATGGGGTGCGGGCTTGTGAGACACCTCCTCCGGGGCCTCCATGGTGTTTGGCACGGCCCCAAGAGCTCCCGGCCGCGGCCAGTGGTTTCAGTTGACAGGGGCCAGGGCCTGGCCCCAGGGACACGTCCCTCAGACTTGGCGAAAAGCAGACTGGCTCTCAGTCTGCCCTGCGCTCCTGACGGGTCTCCCCACGGCCAAGCTCGGGGCACAGCGGGGCACAGCTGAGTGGAGACAAACATCGGCCTCCTGCAGCGCCTGCCTGGCCGCCACCCCCCCCAAGCCTCTGGGGGGTGCCCTGGGGGCTCGGCCCCTCCCAGCCCCCTGTCCTCTGCTGCTCCTCTCCCTGCGCCTCCTCCTGGGCCTGTGTCCTTGTCTCAAGGGGGGACTTTCATCCCAGACCAGCAGTGCAGCCGGCGCCTGGGGACCTGCGTGCTCGCGGCCTGGGCTTTTCCGGAGCCCCACCCCCGCCCGGCCAGCCTCATGCAGGGCGCGCTCGGGGCTGTCCCGGTCTTTCTGCAGCTCCTCTCGGCCTGGCTGGCCTAGGACCAGGGCGGAGGGTGGGGGGCAGCTCACTCTGGGGCCCCCCAGAAGCTCTCACTGCTGGCGTGTGGTGCAACGGCCGGGGCTGGGAGCTTCAGTCTTCAAAGGGACCTGAGGACGTGGCGCCCGTTCCCTCCCGGCACCATCGGGGCTGGGCCGCAGCCCTTCCTGTGTCCCGCCTCCTTCCTTCCATCCCTGCCTGACAGCACAGCCCGGCCAGGGTTTGCTCTGTGGAGGCCACCCCCCGTGCTGAGGGGCTGGCCGAGGCCCAGGCGGGCGGCGACACGGCCCACTCTGGCCAGGACCTTCCATATCGCGTCTCCCCGAGCCCAGGGGATTGGAGCTCTGTGCCTCACCTCGTGCCCACAGGGGCGCCCTCCTCCCCAGGAGCCCCAAACAGCGCCAGCCCGCGCCTCACCCGTTGTCTGGCCCAGCTCCTGCGCCCCAGGCGAGGCTCAGGGCCTCGGGACACTGGCAGCGCCTTCGTAGGCTCCCTTAGTGACCGGCCGGCTTGCACTCTCGTCACAGGGTGAAGTCGTCAGATGCGAGTCTCCCAGGCGAATGCGTGGCTGGGAGACCAGGGCTGAGCAGGCACAGCTACCGCCTGCGGGCCGTGGGGTGTCTACCCTCAGCCCCCTTTGGGCTCTGCTGGCGGGTGGGCGTGGTTTGCTGCTGCAGCCCTGGCGCGCTTATGGGCAGTGGGGGTCTAGCCGGGTCTGGGCCACCTGCTCTCTCAGAAGCCGGCCCGGCAGTCAGGGCTGGCAGCCCCAGCAGCCGCCCACCAGGGTGTGGCCCTGCGGCGTGGGATCCCTGTGAGGCGCCGGCTGGGTCTCGCTCCTTCTGGCTCGCAGGCAAGCGTTTGGGCTGAGCGCTCTCTGTGGTCCTGGCCTGGCCTGGCCTGGCCTGGCCTGGCCTGGCTGTGCGCCGCTGCCGCACATGGGCCTCAGGGCCGGCCGCCCAGCTCCTGCTGCCCGCCTCCGGGGCCTCCCACACTCTCACTCCGCCTGCCCTTTCCCGCAGGTCCCCTACGAGACCCTGAACAAGCGCTTCCGGGCCGCCCAGAAGAACATTGACCGCGAGACCAGCCACGTGACCATGGTGGTGGCCGAGCTGGAGAAGACCCTGGGCAGCTGCCCGGCCGTGGACTCCGTGGTCAGCCTTCTGGACGGCGTGGTGGAGAAGCTCAGCGTCCTCAAGAGGAAGGTCAGTGTGGCCCTCGCCCGCCTGCGGCCTGGGCCGGGTGCTGGGGGCGCTGCGAGGGAGAGGGCGCTGCGGGGCGGCCGCCAGTCCTGAGCGCCCGCGTGTGCAGGCGGTGGAGTCCATCCAGGCCGAGGACGAGAGCGCGAAGCTGTGCAAGCGCCGCATCGAGCACCTCAAGGAGCACAGCAGCGATCAGCCGGCGGCCGCCAGCCTGTGGAAGCGCCAGCGCATGGACCGCATGATGGCCGAGCACCTGCTGCGCTGCGGCTACTACAACACGGCCGTGAAGCTGGCGCGCCAGAGCGGCATCGAGGTGGGCGCCACCCGCGGTGTGGACGCCGAGACCACCCTCAGCCCGCCCGGCCCCCACTCGCGGGAGCCCAAGTTCCCATCAGTCTTGGGGAGAGCCCCGTGGCTATCTCCGGGCTCGGGGAGTGGCCTGGCCCTCTGGCCAAGGGGGATGTGGGCACCGGCCCCACGTGAGCCCCGTGGGGCTGTCCGCCCCGGTCACCCCGGGGGAGGCCCCCGGTGCTGGGGGGGGGCCTGGGCCGCACTCCAAGCGCCCCCTTTCCTCCTCCAAGGACCTAGTGAACATCGAGATGTTCCTGACGGCCAAGGAGGTGGAGGAGTCCCTGGAGCGGCGGGAGACGGCCACCTGCCTGGCCTGGTGCCATGACAACAAGTCCCGCCTGCGCAAGATGAAGGTGGGCGGGGCTCGGGGCGGGCATCCTGCTCCCTGTGGACGGGCGGGCAGGGCTGTGGGGGGCTCGTGGGGCTGGTGCCTCCTGCTGGGGCGCTCGCTGCAGGGGCCGTCGCGGGGCAGGGTGGCCTTGGCTGCTGCTCACAGCCCCTTGGCTGACGGTGCAGGCGCTGGGGCTTCTGCTGGTGCTGTTCGGCCGCAGGTGGATCCCCGAGGAGCGTCTTGGGACGGGTGTGGACAGGTCTTCTGTGCAGGCGGGTTATGGGTGCGGCCTTCAGCGGGGCTTCTGTCCCGGACACTCTTGATCATGGCTTTTCTGGAGGCCCAGCCACAGCTGAGGCGGTCTGAAGGTGCCTCCCCCAGACGGGGCCGCCCCGCAGGCCTATGGCTGGCCAGCTCCCGCTGCGCGGCGTGCTCCGCTGAGCACTGCGTCCACCCGCCCGGCTGGCTTGTCCCCGCGCGTAGTCACCAGCCAAGGGTGACGCTCTCTGCCACCCAGGGCCGCCAAGGCGAGCAGGACGTGAAGACGGGACGCAAGGGTAGAGCGGCCAGTGGCTCCCCTAGAGAGAGTGAGGATCTTGGTATGGAAACCCTAAAAGGAAAGCCAGAATTGGTATGTAACACCCGGCCCTGCTCCTGCTCCCCCGCCCCGGCCGGGCTGCACCCCGGGGCTGGGCCAGCGCCCGCAGGCTGTCTGTGGCCTGGACTTGCCCACCGCAGCACTGCCTGGCCAGGGCCCCAGGCCACTGCAGGGGGCGGGCAGGCCTGAGAGCTGGTGCCGGCCGCAGGGAGGGGCTGAGTGACCGTCCAGGAGGGCAGCTGCAGCCAAGCGTGGGCCTCGGGGGCACTAGCGCTGGGGGTCTGGGCCTAGCTGCCCACACCCCAGCGGGCAGGCGGGGAGGGGCCCCAGGCCAATCTGGCAGCTGTGTGCAGGGCTGTCGCCCCAGGCCTGGGAGGCAGAGGCTGCAGGCAGCTGCTGCCCGCGGTGGCCGTGGACCGGGCCTGCAGGAGCTGCCTCCTGGGGGCACGTGCCCGGGTCCTCTGGCTATGGGTCCCGGGAGCCTGCGCCTGCATCTCGGCCTGCACGGAGCCGTTAGGGCTCTGAAAGCCCGCCTGGACGAGCCCGTCCTGCCGAGGGGCGCACAGGTCAGCCTTGTGGCATGGGAGCCAGGGCTTCGCTGCGGCACTGCTGGTCTGGGCCTGCCCGGTCCCTTCCTCCCGCAGTTAGAGTTGCATGCCCTCCCGGCAGACACGGTGGCCATCCGGGCCTGGGGAGCAGGCGGGGCTCTTCCTGCCAGTCTGACCTCTGAAAGGTCTTTGTCCTGTTCTCAGCATGGCCACACCCGCTCTGCACACGGCCGGCCTGCCTGGCGGGTCTGCGGGCGGGAGGGCGGGGCAGGTGCTGGCCGCACACCAGGTAAGTGGCCTGGGGCCGCCGGCCCACCTACGGCACCGTGGCCGGGTCCAGCTGCCTGGACGGCACGAGCTGGCCTTTGCCCTCCTGCCGTGTGGTCCTGGGGCCCGGCCCTGCTGAGCTGCCGCCTCAGGTGGCTGGTGTGCATGCGGCAGGAGGTGCTGCCCTGAGTGCAGGGCCTGAGCCCCAGGGCCTGCCTGCAGCCTCCCTGCCTCCTGGGGCTTGACCCTGTGCCGCCCCTGCCTCTTTGCTAGCTCACCTCCCAGCCAGGGGCCCTGAGCTCTGCAGCCACCTGTCCTTGCTTTGGCAGTGACCTCGCTGCTCCGTGGGGTGACAAGCTCACGTTACCTGCCGCCCCTCCCCACAGCTGCGAGGGCTTTGGCCCATGCTGGACTGCTGGCCTCAGATTCCAGGTCAGCGTGTGGCCCCAGGGACTGACCCTGCTGGTGGTGCCTCTCTTGGCGCCGGACTCGGCCCTGAGACCCCCTGGGCACCCCTCCTACACCTGGGCCTGGCCACCTCACAGCCCCACAGATCCTGGGCCTTCCCCCTCACGGGCCCTGGCGTCTAGTGAGCTCCCCTCCCCGAGGTCTCTACCTGGTCCCCACGGCAGGCTTATGGTGCCTTCGGGGTCAGCGACTCTTGTTCTGGGGCCATGACCCCAGGACCTTTCAATTGGCTCGCTCTTCTGCCTGGAATGTGCTCAGGGTGTCTGTCTGGCCCCCACCCCCGCGAGCCCTCAGATCTTCTGCTCTTGTGAGGTGCCGCCCTTGGGTCTTCCCACCAGGCCTCGGGCCTCCGCACGGGGCTGGGCAGCTGCCAAGCTGCCCAGGGCAGTGGGGTGGCCGGTGTCCTTTACGACGAAGCCCAGTGCTGCCCAAAGAGGTCACTCACTAGGGGCAGCTCCAAGCAGCACCACCACCACCGGCTGGTGCGCCTGTGGGACATGGACCTGGAGCTGCAGGGGTGGGAGCGGCCTCCGCAGCCCAGGCTCCTGCACGCAGTGCTGTCACGCTGGGCCCCAAGGGGCTGGCTGGCAGTCAGTGCCCAGCGCGGTGTGCCCGGGACCAAGTGGCAGGACCAGGCTCTGGGCTGTCAGCTGAGCTTCCTCTTGTCTTTGCTCCCAGAGCTGCCTGGAGTTCAGCCTCAGGATCCAGGAGTTCATTGAGCTCGTGCGGCAGAACAAGAGGCTGGATGCCGTGAGGTATGACGTGTATACAGTGGCGGTTCTGCCGAGGCCCGCTGCCCCAGACGCCCCCCTGTTGCTCAGGAGGGCCTGATGGCCTGGTCCCATCATCACAGACAGCAGGGGCCGGTGGGGTGTGCAGGCCCCCTTGGCCTGACGCGGGGTGGCCCTTGGCACGGGCTCACACTCCAGCCTTGCGGGCCCAAGCTGGGAGGGTGGCGGCAGAGTTCCCTGGGGGTGCTGCTAGGAGGGGGCGCTGCACGGCCGTACCCGGCTGTGAGGCTCTTGGCTCTGCTCCCGGCTGGGATTTGACAGCTGCCCCAGGGCGGGCCCCTGCTGAGCCTTTGCAGGTGGACAGGGCTCCTGAGAGGACTGCCCTCTGGGGACTGAGGGGGCCTGGGAGGACACCTGCAGGGGCTGGGGTGGGAGCAGAGCTGGGGCTGGCAGTGCCCTGGGTTGGGCTGAGGTGGGGTCTCAGGGCTCAGCTCTCGGGGGGCGTCTGCTGACCACGGGCTCACGCCGGGCGCCGGGGCAGCGCAGGTGACAAGCCGTTGTCCGTCCCCCAGACATGCGAGGAAGCACTTCAGCCAGGCTGAGGGGAGCCAGCTGGACGAGGTCCGCCAGGTCATGGGCATGCTGGCCTTCCCCCCCGACACGCATATCTCTCCCTACAAGGTAGGCCGCCTGCCTGGCTCCCCTTTCAGGGTGAGAAAGCTGAACTTGGGGGCACGGCATGATGCCTCCCCGCTCCCATGGGGCCGTTGTCCGCAGCGTGCAGGCGGTTACCTTTCAGAACCTGGTCTGCCGTCCTCAGTCCCCGTCCTGACCCACTGCCGTCTCCAGTCCTGACTAAGCCCGCACCCCCTCGGCACCGGCTGGGAGTCACCTCCTCACGGCTCCCGGCCTGTCCAGGGCCGGCTCTGCTCTTGCCCACTATGGGAAGCTGCCTGTGCGGCTGTGACCTGCGCCTGTCTTGCCTGCTGCCCATGCCCCGTGCCCAGCAGCGTCCTCTCCCGGGCTGACTGGCGGTAGGCTCTGCAGTCCTTGTGTGGGCACCGCCCTTGGCCCTGGTCACCCTGCAGACCTGTGGCCTCGGGCTGTCATCTGGACCAGGGCTTTTGCCTGGCTCTGGGCCTGCTCGCTCAGGGCAGCAGGTGCCCACAGTGCTGCGGCCAGGGGGTGCCCTGGCAGTCTCCTGGGCTTGTCGGGATAGCATCCACTTGGCAGTGCCGCCTCGGACTCCCACTTCCGGGCCATGTAGATGGTCAGGGAAATGCAGAGTATGAGGGGTGACCGGTGGGAGGGCCTCCGGCAGCTGCTCAAGTCGACACCTGTAGAGTGCTGGGCGGCCAGCCAGGAGTACAGCCAGGGCGCTCACAGGCCACGCCGGAGACCGGAGCGGCCGTGACACAGCCTGTCGCCGGGTCCAGCGGGTGGCTGGGGTCCGTGCGCTGGGCTGTGCACTGGGCCCTGGGCTCAGACTGGGCTCTGCGGACAGTGACAACGCAGGTGCCTGTTGACTGGTGGGGTGAGGTGTGTGTCCGGCCAGCCCACCCCTCCCAGTGCCTCCCTGGATGCGGGGTGATGGCCCCTCTTGCCCCCCCACTTGGGGTCTAAACCTGGCCAGACCCAGGTCTCTGTTATGCATTTCCGGGGTGGTGGGGGGGAGCTGCTGGTGCCCACTTGGGCGGGTTTTTTCCTGGAATGACGCTTTCCCTTGGCTCTGACGGCCTTGCCGGGCTGGCCGCGGGCCCCTGGGGTCAGGAGACACGCGGGCAGCCCCAGACTCTGCCGCTGCCCTCGTTTCCAGGACCTGCTGGACCCGGCCCGGTGGCGGATGCTGATCCAGCAGTTCCGGTACGACAACTACCGGCTGCACCAGCTGGGGAACAACTCGGTGTTCACGCTCACGCTGCAGGCCGGCCTCTCGGCCATCAAGACGCCGTATCCTTCCGCGGCCCTCGCTCGGGGCTGCCGCGTGGGACGGCGCCGTCCGCTCCGCCGCGCCAGGCTGCGCGCCCCTGGCGCCGGGGCTTTCACCCGTGGGAGTGGCTCCCCGCGGGCTGCTGGGGACCCTCTGGGCGCCCTCGGCAGCGGCTGTGCGGCTGGACGGGGCGCCCCGACAGGGTGGACCCCCGGCCCCGCCGCCCGCCGTCCCGTGCGCTCTGCGCCGGGCGCCCCCAGCCCTGCCCGTGGCGGGCCCGGGCCCGGGGGCTGCTGCCGGTCCAGCAGGACCAGCCTGGCCGGGCGGGCGCGGGGCCCCGGGCGGGGGGGGCGGGGGCGCGGCGGGCGGGCCGGCGGCGGGCGGAGCGGCGTCTGGGCCTCCCTTAACCCGCGCGCAGGCAGTGCTACAAGGAGGACGGCAGCTCCAAGAGCCCCGACTGCCCGGTGTGCAGCCGCTCCCTGAACAAGCTGGCCCGGCCGCTGCCCATGGCCCACTGCGCCAACTCGCGCCTGGTCTGCAAGATCTCGGGCGACGTCATGAACGAGAACAACCCGCCCATGATGCTGCCCAACGGCCACGTCTACGGCTACAACGTGAGGGCGCGGGCGGCGGGCTCGGCGGGGGGCCGCCCGCCCGCCCGCGCTGACCCGCCTCCCTTTGCAGTCCCTGCTGTCCATCCGCCAGGACGACAAGGTCGTGTGCCCGCGCACCAAAGAGGTCTTCCACTTCTCGCAGGCGGAGAAGGTGTACATCATGTAGGCCGCCGCCGCGCCCGGGCGCGCCGCCGGAGGTTTGTCCTCGCGCCCGTCCTGCATGTCGTGTCGAGTAGCCAATAAACTGCAATAAAGGGCTTTCCATTTCCTACCCCGTGTGGCGCGCCAGCTGCTGCCGTCGGCGCGGGCCGCGCGCGGGGTCCGGCCGGCGGGGCCCGCGCGGCCGCCCGCTGTGCCGCTTTGGCCTGATGCTCGCGGCCGGCCCCGGTGGGCACGTCCGGCTGGACTTCGCGGCTGTCGCACGTCGCGCCTAAGCCCGCTGGCCGCGGCGGAGCCCTGTCACCCTGAGCCGGGCGAGCTGCCCGTCGTCCGCCCTACCCGGGGCCGCCCTCGGGACTCCCCGGCCCGGCCCGGCCCGGCCCGCTGGTCTCCACATCGCAGTGCCCGCAGCTCCGTCCGCGCCCCGCGCGAAGCCGCTCGCCTTTGGCCGGCGTCCGGCGTCCGGCGTCGGGCTCCCCCAGCGACGCCCCGGCCCGGGGACACGCGTGGTCTGGCCCCGCCAGACGCTGACCGTGCGGCCCTTGCGGGCTCCGCTCCCTGCTGGGGGCTCCCCGCGGGGGCCCTGGGCCGCCCGACGCCTCCGGGCCGCCCCTCTGCCCGTGGTCACCGCGGCCGCGGGGCGTCATCCGGAAAGCTGCAGCAGCTGCTCTGACATCCCTCCGCGCCCCACGCCGGCGGCCGGGCGACCTTCGGTCTCCGCTTCCAGAGGGCCAGCGTGGGGGGGGCGGGGGGCTGCGGGGGCCGCGGCTTCTGCGCTCCTCTGGGAGGGGTGGGGGCCCGGAAGGCACCCCGGTCTGACCTCCGGGGCGGGTGGGACGCCGCTGGCGGCTGGGGCCGGCGAAGGCGGCGGGGTGTCGGGGTGCTCGGGCCCACGGGCGCCCTGGAGGTGGGGCGGTCCAGGAGCTGCACGTCCTCGGCCCGCGTGGGAGGCCGGCCGGCGGCTGGCGTGAGGGCCGTGGGGCCACTCGGGTGCTGGGGCGCCCTGCGCCGCGCGGAGAGGGGCCCCGGGGGGTGCCCGGCTTCGAGCAGCGTCTGGACGGCTCCGGGGCGCGCCCAGGACGGGGGGGGGGGGGGGGGGCCGGCCGCGCGCGCGCCTCCGGCGACCGGGCCCGCCCAGCCCAGCCCCGCGGGCTCCGGCTCCCGCCCGCCACCGCCTCTCACCGGCCGGGGCCGGCCCCCCGCGGCCGCCGCCCGCTCGCGGGCGCCCCCCCGCGCCAGGACGCCCCAGGCCCCGCCCCGGCGCACGCCCCGCCCGCTCTGCGTCGCCGCGTCACCGCGCAGGCCACGCCCCGCCCCACGCTCGCGAGCACGTGACAGGGGCGGGGCAGCCGCTGGAAGAGGCGGGGCGGGGAGGGCGGCCGCGTCGCGCGGTAGGCGCCGTCGCGGCCGCGCTGACCTCCGTCCGCCCGCAGGAGCAGCCAATGGCTGGAGAGGGTGGTGGCACGTGAGGGGCGGGCCTTCCGCCGGAAGGGGCGGGACGGGAGGCCGCCGGCGAGCTAGGTGAGCGCCCTGAGCGCCGCCCGCGGGGGTCGCCAGGGCTCCGCCCACAGGGGGGGCGCGGCGGCCGGGGTCTGGGGGCGGGGTCCGAAGCTGGGCCCCCGCCCCCCTCCTCCCCGGGGCCCTCCTCCCCGGCCCTCCTCCCCGGGCCCCTCCTCCCTGGGCCCTCTCCTCCCTGGGCCCTCTTCCCCTGGCCCTCCTCCCCGGGCCCCCTCCTCCCTGGGCCCTCCTCCCCGGGCCCTCCTCCCCGGGTCCCCTCCTCCCCGGGCCCCTCCTCCCGGGCCCCCTCCTCCCTGGGCCCTCTTCCCCTGGCCCTCCTCCCTGGCCCTCCTCCCCGGGCCCCTCCTCCCGGGCCCCCTCCTCCCTGGGCCCTCTTCCCCTGGCCCTTCTCCCCGGCCCTCCTCCCCGGGCCCCTCCTCCCGGGCCCCTCCTCCCCGGGCCCTCCTCTCCGGGTCCCCTCCTCCCCGGGTCCTCCTCCCCGGGTCCCCACCTCCTCGGGTCCCCTCCTCCTGGGCCCCCTCCTCCCCGGGCCCTCCTCCCCGGGCCCTCCTCCCCGGGTCCCCTCCTCCCCGGGCCCTCCTCCCCGGGTCCCCACCTCCTCGGGTCCCTCCTCCCCGGGGCCCTCCTCCCCGGGGCCCTCCTCCCGGGCCCTCCTCCCCGGGTCCCCTCCTCCCCGGGCCCTCTTCCCCGGGCCCCTCCTCCCCGGGCCCTCCTCCCCGGGTCCCCTCCTCCCCGGTCCCCTCCTCCCCGGTCCCCTCCTCCTTGGGTCCCTCCTCCCCGGGCCCTCCTCCCCGGCCCCCTCCTCCCCGGTCCCCTCCTCCTTGGGTCCCTCCTCCTTGGGTCCCTCCTCCCCGGGCCCCCTCCTCCCCGGGCCCCCCCCTTTAACTGGGGCCTCTCTCTGGCCTGTGGCACCTCTCCTCTGTGTGGGGGGTGCGGCGTGCTCTGGGAGGTGGGGGCGTCCCACAGCAGGGGGCGGCTGGGGCGTGTGCTGAGCTGTGTCCCACACAGTGAGCGTCGTGGGGGTGCGCCCCAGAGAGAGCGCCCTGGGCTGCCCACTCGCTTTCTGCCCCACAAAGCCAACCGCCAGCCAACCTTCCCCCGTGGCCGCACCTTCCTGGACACCCGATCCCCTGCACGCTGCACCTGCCTCCAGGTGGCCCAGGCGGGAGCTCGGGCGCACCTGGAAGACAGGGCCGCAACTCCCTGTGGGGGCCTGTATGGGGCTGCGTGCTCTGCGATGAAGTGGGGCCGCCCTGTGACTTTGCCCGGCTGAGGGGCGCCCCGTTACTGCTGCTCTCTCCCAGGTGCCGCCAAAGGCCCTTTGGACTCACCTTGACCTGGGCTAGCTTGGGCCCTGGAGGCTGCCCGGGCCCCTGGCGCTGTCCACGTGGCTCAGACCCGTGGCTGCGCGGCCCAGCGTCCTGAAGCCACAGCGACTGTGCCCCTGCCTCTTGCACTTGCAGACATGGATCAGAAACTCTCCAGGTTGGTGGAAGAGCTCACGACTTCAGGGGAGCCCCAGCTGGACCCCGAGAAGATGAAGGAACTGAAGAAGATTTGCAAGTACGTCTTATGGGGCGGTGTTTCGGGTGCCCAGCCCAGCAGTCCTGGCACGCCCTGGAAATGGGGTGGTCTCCCCTGCCCACTGAAGCCTCCCCTCTGCCCGGGAGGTGGATGTGTGGGTGTCTCCCAGGCCCTCAGGCTGAGCCTGCCCCACCCCACGCGCACAGAGTGTGCCCAGTCAGGGTGAGGCCAGCACACGGTAGGGTGTGGACCTTGCTCGCGACTCCTGTGTGGCCTGGGTGTGCCAGGAGAGCACGGGTGCTACCCAGCTTGGGTGCCCGGCCTTGGGTGCTGCGTGGGTCTGTGTCCATGTGGGTGGCAGCGGCAGGGCGTGACCCTGGCTCCCCACCCCCCTGGTCCCTGTGCCAGGGCTTCTGCACTTGGGTACAAAGACTTCACTCGGTTCAGACTGGGGCCCAGGCCACTCCAACATGGCCATGGCTGGGGGCGCGGCAGCGGGAGGTGAAGGGTGGGGGCGCCGCCCTCTTCAGGCCCCCTCCTTGGGTCACAGCCGGGGTCCCCTCTGGGGCGGGTCTGGTGGCCGCCCCTGCGGGCTCTGTGCTCACCCAGCTGTGAGGCCAGCTGAGGCGGCTGTGTCCCCTCACCTGCCATACGCTGCGCTGTCCGGGCCTTTGCACGGGTGGTGATGGGGCGCTCTCTGGCGTGTCCCACGCTGGAGACCTTCTGCCGTCTTGGCTCGTGCGGTGGCTGCCTCGGCCTGGTGGCCCCGGGGGCTGCACAGAGAAAGTGACGGGGCGGGGCAGGGGTGGGGGAGCTGCCAGCCTGCCGCTGGTGCCCGCTGTCCACAGGGCCGGCGCTGGGTAAGGAGGCTGCGCTGCCCCCAGGTCTTCCGAGGAGCAGCTCAGCCGCACCTACCACCTGCTGCGGGCCCAGCTGGGCCGGGAGCACGCCCAGGTCCGCCTCTCCGCCTTCCAGGTGCTGGAGCAGCTCTTCTCCAGGTCGCACCACTTCAGGGTGCTAGTGGTGTCCGGCTTCCAGGAGCTCCTGGAGCTCACGCTGGGCACTGAGCACGAGCAGCCCCTGCCACCCCCGCGGGAAGCAGCCCAGCGGCTGAGGCAGGCTGCCCTGCAGGCCATCAGAGGCTGGGCCCAGAAGTACGGAGCCGCCTACAAGAAGCTGGCCTTGGGCGTCCACTTCCTGCAGCACAGCAAGCAGGTGGGCCGGCTGAGGTGTGGGGTGAGGGAGGCCATGGCAGAGGAGGGGGCGGCGGGCGAGGCCTGGGCGGCTGGTGGAGGGGCCGGAGGCCGTGCCGGCAGCTTCCCATGGGTCCCCAGCTGCTGCCCACCCTGCCGGGACACCTGCGCTTGCCTGCCTGGTGCAGCGTCCGCCTGCGCCCCTCGCCCGCCGTTGGCGGTCCCCGCGGGGTGTTTTCAGGCCGGCTGCCTTCCGGGTCCTGGGCCCGGAGTTTGTGGGTCTCTGGGGACGTGCCAGAGCCAGGGGGCGTGTCCTCTCGTGTTTTGGAGGCGGCGGCGTCTCAGTCCTGCTCCGGGCGTCCTCCTGTGCCGCGCCCTTCGCTCAGCCTGGCCCGTGTCTCGTGCCTCAGGTGGACTTTCAGGATGTCAGCGCCAGGACCCCGGCAGGCCGGCGGCGTGAGGAGGAGAAGCGGAAGCGCCTGGACAGGATCTATGGGCGGCGGGCTGAGCAGGCCGCCAGGGAGATGGAGGGTGAGTGCAGGGCCGGGTGGGCACGGGCCACTGCGGGGGCTGCCCTCGAGGGGCCCCATGAGCCGCGCTGTCCCGCGTGTCCCGCGCAGAGGCGTCCGAGGAGATCCAGCGCTGCCTCACTGAGCTGGACAGCTGCTTCGACCTGCTGGTGCCCTTCTACCCGGCGCCCGGCGTGCCCGAGGGGGGCGCCCCAGACCTCAGGGGTGAGGAGCAGCCCTGCTGCAGCAAGTCCCTGCCGGCCTGGGCCCCTGCGGGGGAGATGGCAGGAGAGGAGCAGGAGGAGCAGGAGGAGCAGCAGGAGCACGGCGAGCAGGACGGGTTCATGCGCTGCCATGGGCTGGGCTCCCGCCAGTACACGCTGTGCCTGGATCTCTCCGCAGGTAAGGCCAGGCGGGGCCCAGGGCACTGCCAGAAGCCCAGGCTTCCAGGCCGCAGCCAGCAAGACCCCAGGCTGGCACACGTGGGTCTGAGGCCCCCGGGGGTTGCGCACTAGTGGGAGGCGAGTGTGAGGGGCAAGGGCCTTGGGGCCTGGAGTTCGGCCGCTAGGGGGTGCATGGCTGCCGCTGTGGCTCCAGCCCCCGCAAGCCCTGCTTCCTCACAGCCCTTGCACCCGGTGAGCTGCTGGGGGTCTCCTTCGGGTGGACCGAGGCTTCTGGGAGACCGGCCGGCCCTGAGGCCTGGCCACCTGCCCAGATGGCTTGGGTGCAAGGAGGCAAGAGGGAGGAATGTGGGGCTGCGGTGGGCTGGGGGCTCGGGTGGGCTGCAAGGGCTCCCTCTCCTTCCCGAGAGCAGATGGGGACCCCCGCGTGGCCTGGAGGGTGGCCTGACCCTTGGTGGGGAGGGTGGCAGCCCCCACAGGCGCAGCTAAGCAGGTGAGAGGCCGGTGGGGCCGCCGGGGCAGCCGCACGTCCAGCCTCCGTGCCTGGGAAGTGACCGCGCCCCTTTCCAGACAGCCTGTGGGTGCGGGAAGACGAGGACAATGCCGCCATCCTGCACTCCGCACGCGACGCGCTCAAGCTCATCCAGGACAAGTTCCTGCCGGCTGTGCGCTCCTGGGTCCAGGTGGGGTGGGGTGGGGAGGGGTGGGGTTGGGAGGGAGCTGGGGGGAGGCGGGTCAGGGGATCCCCAAGTGACATGTCCCCGTGTGCAGCTGTTCACCCGCGCAGGGGCACAGGGGGGCTCCTTGGAGGGCGCTGTGCGCCTGAAGGCAGAGCTGGAGCGCGCGCTGAGGAGGGGCAAGGAGCTGGCCATCGGGCCGCGGGGGGCGCGCAGCCCGGAGGTGAGTGTGGCCAGCTGGCCGTGGGCCGTGCTCTGACACGCAGGGCCGCGCTGGGAGCAGAGCTAGACCTGGAGAGGGAGCCCTAGGGCCGGTGCTCCCCGACCTCGCTGAAGCCCCCGAGGCTGTAGGAGGGGCCGCGCCTCCTGCGTGGGCGGGGCGGCCGTTGTGCAGGCGAAGTTCGGGAGCCGGTGCCCACGTTGTGGGGGACACGCAAGGTCTCCGTCTGCCGGGTCGCAGGGTTCTGGGGGAGCTGTTGGTCCTGCTTCCTAGCGATGCGGGGAGGGCCGGGTCAGGCCAGGACCCCCAGAGCTCCAGGCCCTGCGGGCCGAGCTTGCGGCCGGCCCGGGAGGGGAGCCGCGGCGGGGGTGGGCTGGCCCTCTCTGGGCCGGGGCAGCAGGGGGTTCTGTGGACCCTCCCTCGCCCCTCCGTGGTCTCAGACCCCAGCGCCAGCCCCGCCCCATGGGGCCCGGGCAGCGCGGCGAGGACCCGGGCGGCTGGGGAGGGGCCGGGCGGGGAGACCCCGCTGGGGCGCCCGGTGCCGGTCCTGCCGCCGCCTGCCTGGCCCGGTGCCGGTCCTGCCGCGGCTGTGCGCGCCGGCGCCGGCAGAGGGCGCGCTTGGCCGCCGCTCCCGCGGCCCGAGGGCGGGCGCGCCGAGGCTTTTGTGAATCTGGACCGGGACGCGCGCCCCGGCGGCCGCGCTGCGGTGTGTGGGTGCGGCGGGCCCGCGGGCTGGCCGGGCAGCTGGCCGCGCCCCACAGGCTGGCCGCCTGCGCCGGCCCCCGGGGCCAGCAGAGCTGCTGGGGGTGGACCCAGAACCTTCTGGGTGCTCCTGGAAGGGTTTTCCCACAGCGCGCAGCTTCCTCCTCCGGGCCCGGGGCAGCCGCTCTCCCCACCCGCCGCGCCAGGCGCCTCTCAGGCCCAGGCCAACCCGGGGATGCGATTGGGCAGCTGCAGCGCAGGAGGTCCCGGGCACCTGCGGCTGGATGTACCCCCACCCTGTGGGGTGCCGGGGCCGCTCCCCGGGCTCTGGGAGGCTGATGGGGTCGGCGTGGAGGGCGCCCGCTCGCCGCGCTGTCAGCCGGCCCCCATGCCGTGTGGCCCTCTGCAGCCCGCAGTGTCCTCAGGCCAGCCCCACGGCCCTCGCTGCTGCCCGCGCTGGTGCGAGCGTGGGGCTGGCTGGGGTGGGAGGGGACACAGCCCCTTTGGAAGGCTGGAGGGCGTCGGGGACGGACTGGGCTGAGGTTCAGGCGCAGGACGGCCCCATTGCAGCGGACGTGCAGGGAGGAGGCGGTAGGGCTCCGGTGCGGAGCCAGCGGTTCCCTGGGCCTGCCAGGCCAGTTGCAGACGGGAAGCTGCCGGTTCCTGTCAGATCCTCTCCCTGCCGCTGCCAGACGCCTCTGCTGCGGACTCCAGGAGACTGAGCTCGCGCTGCTCCGCAGGCAGAGATGGGGTGACTGGGGCTCCCGCTCGGGTGAGCGCTGCCCAAAATAAACCGGTTGTCTGTGGGTCTGCCCACGCCAGCCACCTCTCCGCCCGCTGTCGGCGGGGCCGCAGGCTGGGGAGAGATCCCCTCCGGGTCAGCGTCCAGCCGCAGCTGTCCTGGGAGTCTGGCTCTGGGGCCCCGGGGTGTCTGTGGCCCCGGCGCCCTGGCCCTAAGGGCAGCCCGTGCGGGCAAGGCTGCTTGTTCCCGGAGCCCCGGAGCCCCGGTGCTCCTGCCTGGGGGCAGGAGGGATAAATCCCAGTCGGGTCAATAGGCAGCGTCTCTTGGTAGATTTAGTTTCCAGCCTCGCAGCTCCGGGAGACGCGATAGTCCAGGGCTGCTACATTTGTTAAGCTGATAAAAATCCTTTGAAAACTTTAAAATTGGTTGCCATGTAATTATGTAGCCAAGATGCCCACTTATTTTGTGCTGTGTGGTGGAGAAAATGTCCATTTCTCCAGCCACCAAGTCAGAGCGTGGCGGCGGGTCAGCCCCATAGCGCAGGCCAGTCTCTGTCCAGAGGCCGCACGCCCGTGGGCGTCCCTGCCCTGTCGTGGCTCTCTGGCGCTGTGGCTGTGGGCCCTCCCCCAGTCTGACCCGGAGCCGCTGCCTGCCCGCGCCGGGCGGGGTGAGGGCTGAGGGAGCCGCATCAGGCAGGGCTCAGCCAGCCAGCCAGCGCCCTCCCTGGACACAGCCCCGCCGCCATGCTGAGGCCAGCGCTGCCTCCCGCCCCAGGGGCGACCCCTCATCCACAGCTGGGCCTCTTGGCGCCCGCAGCCTCCTGGGCCTGGTGCTGCTGCCCTACACACACCTCTGCGGCCCCCAGCACCCTGGCTCCTTGGCCCTGTCTCGCATGGGGCCCTGAGCACTGGCCCAGGCACCCCGAGAGGCGGGGCTGGGGCAGGCGGCCCTTTCCCGGCAGAGGGGAATGTGGGCCCGGAGGCAGCACGTGTCTGGTCCTTGCCTGGCCGCTTGCCCTCTTCCCGCTCTGGGCGAGAGCCGGGCTGGGGCCTGCAGCCTGGGAGCAGCAGAGAGCCCACCCCGGCCCCTGATGGGCACCCTCACCCAGCAGCTGGCTGCGCCCCATGCGCCCGCCCCGGAGGCCACCAGACCCCACTCCTGCCGCCCGCGCCCCCTCGAGGGGCTGGACCGCGCGGCTCGGCCAGCCGTCCTGGGCCCACCACCCCGCCGCCCGCCCGCGAGTGCGGCCGTGCCCCTCCTGGCCCTCGGCCCTCCATTCAGCGCAGCGACAGGCTGCGATTTGCACCGCGATTTGCACGGCCTTCCAGGGAGGGCATTAGCATATAAATAGCAGCGGCGTTGGGGACAATCACAGCTGAGCACGTTTAATTTTTAGTTCATAAGACAGAGCGGCTCTAACTGCGTGGCCAGCAAGGCGCTGGAAGACAGATGCGGCCGGAGCTCCCCCGTCTGACGAGGCCTTACATCATTTTTTTTTTTTTTCGAAAAAAGGGAAACAGACACACATAAAACTGAACAAAAGTGATTTCTTGGGTGAGAAGTAATTGAGATTGCGCACCGAGTTAATTAGATCGCGCGGAATTTATATCGCGGCCCAGCTGCCTCTCGCCTGGGTTGCGCGGGCGGGCGCCAGCGATGCGGCGGCCTCGGCCTTCACCGCGCGTTTAATTACGCTGCGGAGGCTCATTTTTCTAAATCCTTTTAACTGCCCTGAGAGTCAGTCTGCGTGGAGCCGGCCAGGCTGCCCCGCTGCGCCCCCCGAGCCCCGGGCTGCGCCTCCGCCAAGCGCCGGGCTCCCGCCCGGCCGCTCTGCGCCCGAGCTCGCTCTGGCCGGCGCTGACCGCGGACCGCCGCGAGGCCGCTGCCCCCCGCGGCCTGATGGGCCGCTGCCCCGCGCGGCCACTTCCCCAAGGCTGCGGGTCCCTCACCCCGGGGGGCGGCGGTGCCTCTTCTGGCCGCGCGGGAGCAGCCAAGTGTCTTTAGGCGAACGGAAATCTAATGAAAGTCCCCGGGGGAATTCAAGGGTGTGCGCAATAAGCATAATATTTTACGGAAACGACCCCCATATTTAAAGCCGGCGCCCGCGCTGCGTTGTAGGCCCTGCCCGGGCACCTTTGGGAAAATGAAAACTCATAAATTCTGTTTAGTGCGTGAGGCGTGCGGGCCGGCAGGAGCCGTGGGCCCGAACCTTGGGCGCTCGCCACCTTCCATAAATTCCTGGGGAGATTCTATACAAAAATAATTTTCAGGTCCGCGGCTCATTGTTATTCAGACGTGATTGATGGGCGTCATTTGCTGGCGCGCGAGTTAAGTGCCCCTGTCATTTCCAGAGAGCATAATTGGGGCGTTTCACAGGTCAGCGGCGGAGACGGGCTTCCCTTTTGATCAGTGTTAGGACTGATAACAAAAATTACACTTTCCGTGATGGATGTCCCGCCGCCCGGCCCTGCGTTTGCATCCGCGCGGCCCGCGCCCCAGGGGCGGCGCAGGTAGGGACAGGCCGGAGCCGAGCAGTGTGTGCGGGGGGCCGCGGGGACTGCCAGCCGGTCACTGCAGACTTGGCCTCCTGTTCCTGCGAAAGCCCCGCCGCTGGGCCTCACCTGAGGGGTCCCTTGCCTCAGGGGACCCCTGGTGCCCCCCAGACCCCCGAGGAAACAAGGAGGCCTGGACTTGACTTGGCTGTGCCGACGGAGGCCCACACTGGGCGGGTAGTGGGCAGGGCCTTGGCTGCCTGGTGCCTCGCTTTGGTGTCCCTGGGGGGAGGCACCGGCGAGGGTGGGGTGTGGGAGGCCCGATCTGCCCGATGAGGTGGTCTAGGCGCTGCCAGCAGCTGGGTGCTGCCCAGGATGAAGGCTGGGGTCTGGGCCACAGGCCCCTGACTGGTGGGGAAGGCTCCTTCTGCCAGAGGCCGCTCCTCTGGGCCCCTCTGGGAGGCAGCCAGGGGACAGAAGCTTCCAGAAGTGCTGGGGACCCGTGGAGAGTGCCCGCTGGACGTGGGGGCCAGGTTGGGGCCCCTGTGGGACGCTCCGCAGAGACAGGCCAGCGCCTGCTGCCGTGCTGTCTTGGCCCGGGGCGGCTGCACGCTGCGGGCCCTGCTGGGCCTTGCCCTGCCTCCCACACAGACGCGTCTCAGCTGCGTTGGTGTCTCCACAGCCGGCAGCCCCGGGGGACGAGGACGAGGAGGAGGACGACTTTGTGGAGGTGCCGGAGAAGGAGGGCTACGAGGCCTGCGTCCTGGAGCCCCTGCGGCCCCAGTCCGGTGAGCAGCGGGGGTGGGGCAGCTGGAGAAGGCCAGGTACTCCAGGCATCCCCAAGCGTCCCGGGCCATGTCCAGGGGCACTGCGGGCCAGGCCGGGGATGGGGACCCCACCGCCCCTCCCCACACTGCCCGCTCAGGGCAGGGCCTCGCCGGCCGGCAGCCTCCATATGTAGCCTCCGCCACTGTGCGCTGTGACCCCAGGCGCTGAGGCTGCCGCCGAGGGCCGCCCACTCGGCTCCTGGACCCGACGTCCGCTCCCTCGAGACAGTGGCCACCTGGCGCCTCTCGTTCTTCCCCCAAATCTCCAAAGCCATCTGCACCCGGCCCGCGGCTCCAGGGAGAGGGCACGGGCCTCACGTCCAGAGGACGCTCATGGCCTGTGGCCTTGGCATGAGAGGCGGTGGCCAGGAGGGCATGTGGGGGCAGGCTCTGGCCTGCTGGCTGGGGGATGCGGGGCCGCCTCTGGGGGCCGGCATAAGCAGACTCGCCTCGAGAGAGACCCCCACCTGCCCTCACCCTGACCTCCTGGGCCTGTGCCAGCACGACCCGGCCCCTGGACGGGGCCCTCTGCGCCCCCGTCAGGCTGAGTCTTCCTGCAGAGCCAGGGCTGCCCCTGGGTCGTGGGTGTGGTCAGCAGTTAGGGTGAAGGGCGGGATGGCTGCTCAGCCTGTGCCACCTCCTCCCCAGCCCGGGAATGGGCACCACGGGCCTGCGTGGGGTTGGAGGGGGCGCCCAGAGTCCTCCTCCTGGGGTGTCCTGCTCACCGGACCCCAGGGCTCACCGGTGCCCAGGGCTCCGGCAGACACCAGGGGCCTTCCCCACCCTCCTCTGGAGGCTCGGCCGCCAAGTGCCCCTCCAGCGTGGTGACCGCAAGCACCCGCCCGACCCCCGGCCCCTTGGGGGCTCTGCCGGAAACAGGCGGGCAATGGGGCGGGGTGGCGGGGGACCCTGACCGTCCAGCCACACTGGGCTCATTCTGGGTCAGGCTCCGCCCTCTCACATGTCCCCTGAGCTCTCGAGGCGCCCGGCCGGGGTCCCGCCCTCCTGGCCAGTCTGGAGCCTTGGGGCCGAGGGGTGGGTGCTCCGGGGCTCGGCCCGGAGGCCCTACAGGGTGAGGCACTGAGCGGAGAGGCCGTGCAGTCAGCCCAGGCCTCCTCGAGGGGCTTTTATCTCCCCCTTAATCCCGCGTCTGTCAGGACATAATCTCTTCCTCGAATTTACATTTTAATTACAAGGCCAGCGGCCCAGGGGGATCGATGTGTCAGGCGCCCGCTTCCTGCTATCGATCCCCGGGGCTGTGCTGCTCCGCTGATGGCGGGTCTGGGGCCTGGCCCGCCCAGGGCAGCCTTGGGTGTCCCCGTGGAGGTGCGTCAGCGGGTGGGTCTTCCACAGCAGGGCAGGGCGGGGGTGCCCCTGAGCCCACGCACCCGCCTCTTTGGTGCTTAAGAACGTGTTTCACCCCCGGAACTCTCAGGCGTCTCCTGGCCTTGGGCTGCTTGTGTCCACGCCCGGCATCTGCTGACCGGCCCGCCCTGAGCCTGTGTGAGTGCTGGGTGTGGGGGTGTGTGTGGTGTATGTGTGTGTGGTGTGTATGTGGTGTGTCTGTGTAGTATATGTGTGTGGTGGGTGTGTGGTGAGTGTGTGTGCCGTGTATGTGTGTGGTGGGGTGTGTGTGGTGTCACGTCCTGTGTCACTGCAGGTGTCTGAGTGCGAGTGACTCTGCAGGGCCTGGCCCCGGGTGCTGGCCTGAGGCGGGGTCCACCCGCCTGGACTGAGGCCGGGTGCTGCGGGGCTGGAAGTGGACGCAGCAGCCTGTGCGGCCTCCGTCCTGGTCACTGCGCGGAAGCAGGTCGCCGGCTCCGTGTGGCTGCCCAAGGCCGCAGGCGAGGCTGAGAGGGGCACTTGGGGTGCAGCCGGCTCTGCCACCCTCGGGGGCTGGGCTGCTCGGGGCCCAGGGGCCTGTGCAGACCCCAAACACTGCCCCATGTCCGCAGTGCCCTGCGGGCCTCCCGCCCCTGCTGCCCCACCACCGCCACGCTCTGACCCGGCTTTGGGGGCCGCTCCTCGACCCAGGAGCCCCTCTGTCCCTGGCCGCCGCCTCCTGCCCCCCGCGGGGGGATTCCGTGCTGGGCCCGTGGCCAGTGCCCGCACCGCCTGGTCCCAGGGGGCCCCGCGCCTGTGCTGTCGCCGGTCCTGTCCGAGTCTCGCCCCGCCGGTCTCTCCCCCGCCAGGCCGGCCTCCCCTCTGCTGGCTCAGAGACACCGCGAAGCGCACGCTGAGAAGCGAACACCCTGAAGCCTCCTGGGGCTTCCGGTCCCGCCCTTGGCCCCAGCAGCCCTGTCCACGCGCCCCCCAGATCGGCTCCACAGCGGGACCCCCACGCCTTCGCCTAGCTCTGACGCACCTTCCCGGCAGGCGGCCGCGGGGCAGGGCCGAGGCCCCAGTGGGGGGGTCCGGCTGGACTGTCGTCCTCGCCGCCAGCCGTGCGCCCGCGCCCAAACTCCTCTGGGGGGCCGGCGCCCTGTCCATCCCGTAGTCCCTCGTCCGCCCTGGCCTCCTGCAGCGCGCTCCCTGCGCCTCTTCCTTCCCCGCCACTCCTGGGCCGCTCCTGGCCTGGAGGGTGAGTCTGGCATCTTCCTCCCTCCCTCGGGCCAGGTGCCACCCCGTGGGGGCCTGCACCTCTGCCCAGCACCCACCCAGAGGCCTGCAGAGTGGCCTGGGCGCCTGCTGGGGGCCAGTGGGGAGCCGGCGTCCGGCCTCCTCCGGGTGGTGGCAGTGGGCGCCTGTGGCCCGTGGTTGTCTGTGTACAGGCAGGCCTGACCCCCCACTGTGCCGCTGGGGACAGGAGCCTCGGTGGCCTGGGGGTGCCAGGGCTGCTGGGGGTCCGGGGCGGTCTTTGGGGGCTGGGGTAGTCTGGGGGATCGGGGGACTGGGGTGTTCGGGGGGGCTGTGGCGGTCTGGGGGACTGAGGGGCTGGGGGGACTGGGGTGGTCGGGAGGACCGGGGCTGTCTGGGGGGCTGGGACAGTCTGGGGGGCTGGGGGTGCGGGAGCGGCTGGGGGACTGGGAGGCTTGGGGGGGCCGGGGGGCGCTGGGGGCTGGGTCTGGTGGAGCAGCCGTCTCTCTGTCCCAGGGCTGGAGCCGGGCCCGGCCCCGCAGGGCTCCCCGGTGCGGAGAGACGGGGAGTCGTCCGACCCTGCCTCTGCTGAGGCCCAGCTGCCCCTGCCCCCCAGGTGACTCCCGGACACCCCTGCCCAGACACAGTCCTGCCCCTGGGGGGTGGCCTTCCAGGGGGGCCTAGGGTGGGAGCCCTGAAGGTGGAGCCGGGCGCAGGCCCAGGGCGGCCCCTGAGGCCTGGACGTGGCCGCCATGGCCGGTCCGAGAGCTGGGGTGACGGAGGCCCCAGGCCCGCCTAGTGAGTGCCCGCTCGTCCCGCCGCCCCCCAGGGTGCCCGTGGGCCAGGAGGAAGCTGAGCGGCTGGCGGAAGAGCGGGCACGGGCGCCCGTGGTGCCCTTCGGGCTGGACCTGTGCTACTGGGGCCAGGAGCCGCCCGCCGGGGAGATGGTCAAGTGAGTGGGCGGCCTGGTCCGAGGGCACCCGTGCCCAGCCTGCCCACAGCTACTGTGGTGGAGGGTGCGGGGTGGGCTGCACCCTGGGGAGCCCCCTGGCCACCCCGGGCAGGCCGGGTGGTGGCAGCTATGCAGCGGGGCCAGCAAGCTGGCTTGCTGGCCCCCGCGTGACCCCACGATGGTGCCTGGGGCCCCGGAGCCCACCCCAGAGCCACCTCTGCTGGCCGCCTGGCTGGGCCGTCCCCGCGGCAGTGCTGAGGCCTGGTCACGGTGCAGGTCCGAATCTCAGCACCGCTTCTGGAGGCCCAGCGAGGTGGACACGGAGGTGGACGGCGTCTGCGCGTCGGAGCCATGGAGCCGCCGCATCCCCTTCCCGGGGACCTTCGAGCCCGTGCAGCACCGCTGTGGCGCCCTGAGGCCCGACGGCCGGCTGTGTCCCCGCCAGGACCGGCTGAAGGTAGGGGGGCCTTGGCGGGGCGGGCACCCGAGGACGGGAGGCTGGGCCACGCGGGCGGCGCTGGTGGGGGGCTGGGCGGGGCTCTCCCCAGCGAAGCCTGTGGCATGGCGGGCAGCGGCCTGGGCCGGGTTGGCCAGGCTGACTCAGAGCTGCTGCTGCGCCCGCCCGGCAGGGGGATGGCCCGGTGCCCTTGGGGAAGGGGCTCCGGTGGCTGGCCCGGCTCCCTGCCCTCACTGTGCCCTCTGCCCGCAGTGCCCCTTCCACGGGAAGATCGTGCCCAGAGACGAGGCCGGGCATCCCCTCCACGCGGAGGACAGGGCCCGGGAGCAGCAGCGGCAGCGGCAGAGCCCCGCGGGGCAGCCCGGTGGGTCAGCGCGCCCATCTGTCACCTCAGCCAGCAGCATGGACAGTGGGGGCGGAGAGGGGGGTGCAGGCATACGCGGGTCTGGTCAGGAGGCCCCTGGGTGCCCACCGGCCACTGCCTTTGCAGCCGCGGTTTCAAGCTGACCAAGTTGTTGAGGCGAAATGAGTCCATCGGCTGGACCCACACTGCCCACCCGGGGCTGTCCTGCGCCCTCTCAGCGCTGCCCGGAGGCCCATGGGGCTGGGGCGCCACAGGTCTTGACCCCTCAGGCAGAAGGTGGCACAGCCGGTGACCAGGGGACAGTGCCCCCTGCAGGCAGCTTCTGGCCTCAGAGCTAGCTGGACTGCGTCCCCCCAGGCCACCAGACCTGGCCACCAGACCTGCCTGCCCGCCACGGCTGCAGTGAGGGGTCAGCCCGGCCGGGCTATCTGTTACAGGGTGCCCACCTGTCACCTCAGCCAGCAGCATGGACAGTGGGGGCGGGGGTGGGGGGGTTCAGGCGTCTGCGGGTCTGGTCAGGAGGCAGGGGTGCTGGCAGAAGGCAGGGCCCAGGCAGACCCTCAGGCCCCAGGCCTGGCCTGGTCTCCGCAGAGTGCCCTTCAGGGCTGGTTATGCTCCTGTGCCTGCCATCGGGTCAGTGTCAGGCAGGTGGCCTGTGGGCCGTGGGAACCAGGGCTGTTCTCAGAGCACGTGGGGGCTTGCCCGGGTGCCCTGGTGCTGTGTGGGCAGCCCCGGGCACCTACACCTGACCCGTCCGGCATCCTGGACTGGTCACAGCTGGGCTGGGCTGCCGCCTGGGGCAGACAGGAGCCGAGGGGGCAGCACGAGGGTCCCTCAGGGGTGTCCATGGCAGAGACGGCTCAGGGCCCACCTGGCACAGGCACTGGGAGTGCCCGCCCCGCCCACCCGCATGCCCGGGGAGCATCTGGCTGGGCCACGCTCGGGGGTGGCGACTTGTTAGCAGACAGGTACCGGGCGCGGCCCCACCAGCGCTGGCCAGTCAGATGTGAAATGGCATCTCCTTGCTAACGACGGTATCGATCCCGCCCGCAGCCCGGCCAATTCTCTCGCGCGCGCCGCGGCCTGCGGCCTGCTGTCCGCCTCAGGAAGGCCGGGCGGCAGCTATTGATTTTCTTCAAAGGCTTTAAATTGCTCTTCGTTTTCCTGGGATGCTCGCGCGGCCTCCACTGGGTGCCAGCGTCTTCCGTTGTGTTTAAACAATCGCTCCATTCACTGCACCCCAAACTGTGACGCCTTCTTATTACCGCGAGATAAACTGTTTAGACAGTTTCCTGTAATCCCGGTGGCCGGCCCGCCTGGATTGTGCTGCCCGGTCCCTCACCCCAGGACCCCCACCCGGGCGGCCTGGCCATCATCTGTGTGGGCGGCCCCCGCCACAGCCCAGGCTGGCCAGGCGCTGTCCCAGGTCTGGACCTGCCTGCTGGCTGGCTGGACCCTGCCAGGGCCTCTCGGAGGCTGACCAGCCAGGTGTGGACGCATCGGCGGGTCGGGCGGCACCAGAGCTGGGACTCTGACTCACGCACATGGCGGCCGTGGTGCCCTGCCCTGAGACCTGCTCGGCCACGGCTGGGGTGTACAGGGCTGTCTCCTGCTGCCCGCGGAGCCTGTCCGGCACCCGCCGCCCCGACAGCCCCAAGCCACAGCTTGAGGCCTGAGGCCAGACCCTCTCTGGAGCAGTAACAGATAGCCCGGCCGGGCTGACCCCTCACTGCAGCCGTGGCGGGCAGGCAGGTCTGGTGGCCAGGTCTGGTGGCCTGGGGGGACGCAGTCCAGCTAGCTCTGAGGCCAGAAGCTGCCTGCAGGGGGCACTGTCCCCTGGTCACCGGCTGTGCCGCCTTCTGCCTGAGGGGTCAGTGGACCTGCCAAGACCGCCCTCTGGGCCACAAGACCCAGATGGGCGCTGCTCTGCCCTCCACCCCGAGCAGCCCCTGTCGGGGAGGGGGAGGCTGGGGAGGGGGAGGTGGGGCGGTGGGGGGAGACCGGGACCTGTGAGGCAAGGGAGGCCGGGATTGGCGGGGGGAGCCTGGGCCCTTGGGAGGTGCCCTGGTGGGTGCTGGGGGTTTCCTGAAACCAGGGGTGTGCTTGCAGACTGGAAGGACCCCGAGCTGATGAGAGACGTGGAGGCGGCCACGGGAGTGGACCTGGGCTCCTCCCGGTGCAGCCGAGGCCGAGGCCAGAGGCGGCGGCACCCGGGCCTCGTGGACCTGAGGCGGCAGGCCGACACCGCCCGCGCGCGCATCGCCAAGAAGATCTTCGCCAAGTAAGGGTCCTTGACCAGCGCCCCAGCCCCGCGCGCACCCCAGGCCCTGGCAAGATGGCCACCAGCTGGGCAGTGGCGGCCCGGCCGCTGGCCCTGCCTTGCAGGAGGCAGGTTGGTCTGCGGGGCTTCCAGAGCCCTGCCCATGCCCGTTCTGCTCCCCGCAGGGCGGCCGTGCGGAGGGCAGCCAGGGCCATGAGCCGGGTGGACCAGAAGAGGCACGAGAAGTTCGCCCACCAGTTCAACTACGCGCTGAGCTAGGGGGACGGTGCCATGTCCCCCGCATCCGCCTGCCGCGGTGCCCAGCGCCCGTGTGTCGGGCCAGAAGCCCATGGGCCGAGCACCCGGCACGGGGGCCTCCCCACTCCGGATGGGGGTGGTGCTTCCACCTAGCCGCCCACCCAGTGCTCGGACCGGACCCCCTTGTGGGCACGGTTCTGGGGCGCAAACCTCACTGTCCCAGCAGCTCACCCCACGCTCCAGGGGAGCCATGCTCACGACAGCCCGGCGGTCTGCCGCACTCAGCAGGGGTGCCGGCAGTGCCCCTCCTTCCGCCACCCGCACCCCGCACGTCCTGCGCTGGCGTGGCCCTCCCTGCTCGGGAGCGGGCCTGGGTGCCAAGCACACGCGCACCCTGTTCTGGGTTCACGCCCAGCGGGGGAGTGACCGGCCCAAGGAGACCCGTTTCCCTTCCCCATGGGCCCGCGGACTGTCCAGGCTCCAGCTTCTCACGCCCTTGCCAGGCCTCCCTGTTGCCCTTTTTGGCCGCCCGCGGGCCAGGCCCCTCCCGCTGGCCCTAGACCTGCGTCCCGGTGGCGGCGCCCAGCCTCTTCTCGTGGGCCTGGCCTCTGTCTTCTTTGGAGAAATGTCTGTGCATCCCGGCCCAGCTGGACTGGCTGAGCCCCAGGCCCCGTCCTCTCGCCCCCGCCCCCCGCCCCGGCTGCTCCCTCCAGCCGCTGTGCTCCCGCCGGCCAGGCGCTGCCTCACTGACCCGGCTGCCCGGACGTGGCACTCGGCGTCCAGTTCGTTCTGTGGCCACTCAGTGGCCTCCGCCCTGCTCGTGGAGCCAGCGTCCCCTCCCGGTCGTCCTGGCGCCATGCTGGCCACCGGCTGACCACGAGCACACGCAGGCGCGGGCCCCCTGGACACTGGCCCCTGCGCACCTCCCGAGTCCGAAGCGGGGGCCCCGGTCTTGCGCTTCTTCTCCGGACTGGCTCTGGCTGCTCCGGGCCCTCTGGCTTCCGCATGACCCCCAGGGGCAGCCGGTCGGTGCAGCCACAGAAGAGGCAGCCTGGATGCCGGGGGGGCCCCAGCCGGCCGGTGGCGGGGAGCGCAGGCTCCGTCCTCTGATTGTGAACTTGGGGCGCGCGAGTCCTGGGTCTGACGCCTCTCAGCAGCCCGTGTGGCGTCCGCGGCGAGTGACCCGAGCAAGCGCAGCCTGAAGCTGCCGCGAGACGCTTGCGCCTTCCGGCGGGTCTTCCCCGGCCTGTTGCTGTGCGGCGCCATTAAACACGCGGTTCCTGGATTTCGCTTGTGGGTGTTCACTGAGACGCGTCTGGTTTTGTCTGCGTCCTGCAGCCCGTGGGCTCTGCCCAGCAGCTGTGAGGCTGGGCCGTGGCCACCCACGGCTCCTCCAGCCCTGCCGACCCGAGTGGCGCTGCCTGCCGGGCCCGCGGTGCCCGTCCCGAGGGATGGGGTTTGCCCGCGCCTCTCTGCACCTGCTGAGTCAGCGCGGCCGTTGCGCCTCTCTGCCCGTGCCAGCGGCTTAGTGTGGATGCCCTTGTGCCCCTGGGGGCCTGCGTGCGGGCGGCCCTCCCCGTCCCGTCCGCCGGGCCTCCGGGGTCTTGCGGAGGATCGTGGGCGTCTGCAGCCCCAGGCGGTGGCCCCCGCCGCTGTCTTCTGGTCGCCGGCTGTTTCGGCACCGCGGCTTGGCCGCGAAGTGTGCCCACGTCGTGCTCCGGAAGGACAGGAGAAGAATTGGAATTAATTCTTAAAACATGGGGGGGGCCTCCCCGGCGGCGCAGCGGTTGAGCGCTGGGTGCCCACAGCCTCTGCAGCGCCCGTTCGTTTCCCGGCCGCCGGCAAGGGTCCCCCCCCACACACCAAAGTGGGGGATTTCACCAACGACACCCTTTGCTTCTGGGTGTTTTCTTTGTGGGGAGTTTTTTTTTGTTTGTTTTTTTTGGCCAATTTAATGCCTTTACTTATTATTTGTATGTAGGTCTCTTTGGCTTTCTGTCCACCCTCGAGTCACTGCCAGTAGTTGGCAGCTTTCCAGGAATGTGCCCGTTTCGCCCTGGGCGTCGTGTGGTGCCTCCTGGCGCCCCTCTGCACTTTGTGGTGGTCTCTCTGGGGTGGTAGAAGTGTCTCTCTTCTAATTATTAATTTTAGAAATTTGAGTCTTACTCTTCTTGGTCAGTTTAGCTAAAGATGTATCCATTTTATGGATCTATTCAAAGACTAGCTTGGTTTTATTGATTTTCTTTATTTTTCCACTCTTTATTAATTTCCACTTTTATTTATTTTCTTTGGGTTACTTTGGGTTTAGTTTTCTCTTTTCTAGTTCCTTAAAATGCCAGGCGAGCTTCCTGGCCTGAGGTCTGTCTTCTTCTCAGCGTCGATGCCCGCAGCTGGCAGTGCCCATCCAAGGCCGGCTACAGCGTATACATGCGCGTGTTGGTGTGTAGCATTAGCATCTCTGTCGCTCTCAAATACTTTCTTTTTTTTTTTTGAAAGATTTATTTATGCACCAAGAGCTGGGGTACAGGCCAGAGGGGTGGGGGTGAGAGGACAGAATGGGGAGGAGAACAGGAGGATCTACTGAAACCCACTGCTGAGGGGAGCCGGGGGAGTCAGGAGAGGGCTGCCGCGCCCTGTGGGCAGCTCCCTGGCCGGGGATCGAACTCATGCTGCAGTGGCTGCCGATAGCTCCATAGTGCTGAGACTCAACCCCTTGCGCCCCCAGGGAGGCCCCCAAAATACTTCCCAATACTTTTTGGATTATTTTGCCCATTGGCTGTCTAGGAGTTTGTCGTTTACTTTCTGCGTTCTTCTGCATTTCCCCAACGTATTTCTGGTATTTGATCTCTAATTTCAGTCCATGTCCCCAGAGGACACACTGTTGGTTCCAGGCCCCCGGGCGCTGGGGCTTCCTTCCTGGCCCAGCGTCCGCACCGCCCTGGGGACGCTCCGAGTGCCCGAGTGCCTCCTGTCCTGGGCGTGTGGGTGACCGTCCGTCTCGCTGTCTGCGGAGCTGCTCCGTCGTGTCTTTGTTGCTGACCCGTCTAGTTTGAGCCACGTGACCAAAACGGAGTATCGGCGCGTCCAGCTGTCCCAGCGACGGGGTCTGTCCGGAAGTCCCGTCTGTCTGGTGTGGGAGCCCTTCCCCCTCGCGCCGGGAAGTGGCGGGGGTGTCTTGGGGGCTCACACCCTGACCGCGCTGGCCCGGCCCCTGCCGAACAGAGGGGTGCACTGCTGGCCTTGACCACGGCTGCAGGCCTGTGTCTGCCTGCTCCGGCCCCTCCCGCAGGCCGGCTCCGCAACCCCCCCACCCCGTTCTCCCGTGGGGGAGTGGGTGTTGCCTTCCTTTGTGTTTCTGTCACTGTTTTTTTAAGTCATTTTCAGTGGTTTCTCTGAGTCACCAGGGATAACTGAGCACAATCTCGTTCCTGTTGACTCCAGCTTCGACGGCGGGTCCCTGCGGCAGCTGTGCGGTGGCCGCTTCACGCGCGTCTGCACATCCCACAGGAAAACTGCAGACGAACAGCGCGTCCGTGCCGTGTTCTGCCGGCGCCGCCGCAGCTCCTCATCCCTCTTCGAGGTTTGCCTTCTCGTCTCTCGCTTCCGTGTTTCTCAGGCTGGCCTGCCGCCGGTCTCCGCTCCGCCTGTCTGGGACGTCCCGCTGTCTCCTCGCTGGGCCTGGACTTCTGGGCGAGGCGCCCCGGCCTCCGGGCCCCGTGGGCTCCGAGGAGCTGGTCTCTGGGGCACGCGCGGGTCCCCTCGCCCCCGGAGCTTTCCAGACACCCCTTGGCTCTGGCGGCAGACAGGGCCAGGCTGGCCTGGCCCCCGGCACCCCCCACCCCCCGGCGGTCACCGTGCATCTCAGATGTGGACGTGGTTCCCGTCGAGTCTGGGGGGTTTGCGGCCGCTCGTCACAGCTTCCTGGACGCCCGTCCCCTGGCCTGCAGGCCCCGCTCGTGCTTGCTCCGCCGTCTGCCTCCCAGCCTGGGCTGCTGGCCTGGCTCCGGCGCCCAGACTCTCTTTCCGACCAGACTGTCGTGGCCCGTGAGCCGGCCCCTCCAGGGACGGCAGACAAGTGGACGGGTGGTGACTCCCCGTCATTTGGGGAGCCCCAAGCCTGTCTCCCCTCAGGTGCCCCGAGCCAGAGAGAAGGGGCCGGGAGGAGCTCAAGTGACAGGTGCCTCAGAACTCGCGGCTCCCGCCAGGACTCAGCTGCGCTTCCTGGGCCCTTACAAGCCTTTGGTTAATTTCCAAAGTATTGAAAATTGTTTCCACTTTCCAGCGTGCTCTGGACGGCAGAGGCGCTCCCCGTCCCTGGCCGTGGGCTTGGCTCTCGGACCTTCTGTGGCTCCTCCCGGCCGCCCCGTGGCAGAGACCCTGGGGCGGGAGCGGGGCCTTGGCCTCTCCCCAGTGCCCTGGAGCTCTGAGAGCCACGTCCCCACTTCCTGGTGTCCCCACTTCCTGGTCTCCGAGCTGCAGGGCAGGCGCTCGGGAGGGCAGCGTGTGTGCGTGTGGGGTGTGGGCGCCCGAGAGGGCGGCCCTCAGCGCGCTCCCTGCTGCGGCTGGTTTGCTGCTCCCAAGAGCGCATTTAAAATAACCTTAATGAAGAGGCGGCGCGGGGGGCGCAGATGCTTCCGCCCTGCTCCTCGGCCTCGCTGCCTCTGGACCGGCCCTCCTGGCGGCGCCCCCGTGTCCTCGCCCGTGTCCTCGCCCTTCGTTCCGTGTCAAATAAGGAAGCTCCAGGAGTCTGATGTTTTATTTCAAAGGAGCAGCCCCACGGCCCCCACGGGCCTGCGGCCGGCGGGCTCTGCACGCCCAGCGCTGCCCTCACACCTGGAGGCGCACGCCCGGGCCCGGGGCTCGCTGCCCTGGCCGTCGCCCGCGCGGCCACCGGCTTGTTGCGGAGTTTGTGTGAAAGGGTCAGTCCCGTCAAAGCGCTGCTGCTCCGCGGCTCACCTTTACATCACGGACCTTTTTGACATTTACGTCCACCTGAGAAGTGGGCGGTGAGATGGGGGCACCGCGGGACGCAGCTGGCCTTACCTGCCGCCTGGCCTCGCGCTGGCCCGTCTCACTGCCCCTGCATGTCCCCTGGAGGACGGCCTGCAGGCAGGGGCTGCCCGCGGGGACCAGGGACATGGGCCCGGAGCTGTGCCTGGCAGCAGGCCCCACCCGCTCGGGCCGGTCCCACGCTGACCTGGTCCGGGGGCGGCGCTGGGGAGGGGCTGCGGCCCTGGCCAGCTGGAGGCGCCATGACTCAGACCCCGCCGGAGCACAGCTGCAGCCGGGACCGGGTGGAAACAGCCAGAGCCTGAGTCTCAGCCCCTTTCTCCCCTCGAGACTCTGCCCACCGCTGCCCCGGCTCCCTCAGGCCCAGCCGCACAGCTGCCGGGGGGGCCTGGGAATAGAGTCTGAGGGCTGCTGACCGGGCAGCCGCGGGGAGGAGGCAGGACAGGCCGCAGCAGCGGGAGGGGAGGCCTCGCAGGCGGGGCAGGGCCAGGGGTGTGGCGGTGGGCCCAGCCGGCTCTCTCCAGGAGGCAGGGGCAGGGGCAGCAGTGGACAAGGCCCAGGCTGAGGGCCTGGGCTCCTGCTGGGCCACGGGGGCTCTTGGTGGAGCCCTGGCCCCGGACAGGGAGTGGGAGGGAAGGTCAGCCCTACAGCATCCACCCCAGGGCTGGAGGATGCGGGCTGCTGCGGACATGGGGGGCAGAGCCCCAGCAGCTGCGCAGAGTGAAGCTCCGAACAGCAGCACTCACTGCGCCTGTCATTGAAAGGCAGATGGTCAGCGCCCCAGGCTGGTGCGGCCACAGCACCACCTGCATGGCTGAGGCTGCCTCCTGACCCACAGTGGCTGCTGGTGCTCCGGCCATCACAGGATCTGCAGAGGAAAGTCAGCAGGATGTGCCTCCCGCTTGGTTGTCCCCCGCGAGGGGTCAGGAGCACCTTGGCCGGGCCTGGTCACAGCAGCATCCAGCTCCCCCAGAGCCTCAATCGCCACCTTCCGCCCGGGGTGGGGGTAGGTGCCCAGGGCTGGCACTCGGGGCTGCGGGGGCAGAACCGCCTGGAGGGGTGCCCTGGGCTGAGGCCTGCGTTACCAGGTGAGCCTCCCCACCCAAAGCCAGCTGCCCCTGGGTGTCCCAGGCCCTCCCAGCTGGAGGCAGGAGGTGCAGGCTGGGGTGACCGGGCAGCCTGAGGGGCAGTGGTAGGGCGGCAGGGGAGGGTGCCCTGCAGGGCGGGCACAGAGTGGGGGGCCAGGAAGGACATGTCCTGGGGAGTGCACCAGCTCTCCTAGGGGGTCAGCAGGGGTGATGGGGGGCGTGGGGAGCTGCAGCCTTGCAGGAGCAGGGTGCGTGGGCCCTAGAGCTGGAAGAGCCTGCTTGAGGTCCACGATGTGGCAGCTGGGCCTGGGGCGGCCAACCAGCGCTGGCCAGTACGCTGGAGGGCGCTTGGCCAGGGGCAGCACCACAAGCCCGCCCTGTCCCCCCTTGTTCCGAGAATGAGCCGTCACCAGCCTGCAAGGCCACACTCCCGCCCCGGCGGGCCGTGTGGCCAGACGCTGGCCAGCGAGATGTGAGCTGTGTCCCGGGGCTCCTGGAGAAACTCCTTCAAAGGGGGTGCGCCCTGTCCCTTCTTCCTGTCTGCTGCCTGGATGGGGGTGGGGGTGGCTCAGCCTCAGCCTCAGCCTCCATCAGGCCCGGGAGGAGAGGGCAGCCAGGAGCTGCCGGCCCTTAGGACTCGGGGCAGCGGTGCTGTCCGGGGCCCCCTGTGGCCAGGGGACCTCACACAAGAGAAACAAGCAACTGCCTTTCACTTCTGTTCATTCAGGCTTTCTCTTTCGTGCAACCAGGGCTGATCCTCATGCACAGCCAGGGCCTGGAGCAGGACATCCCTGGGCAGGGCCGGGAGGAGGCAGGAGGGGGAGGGAGGAGGGTGGGGGAGGGGGAGGGCGGCAGGAGGGCTGTGGTGTGTGGGTGAGCGGGGGTGGGGGCTCTCTGCCTTCATGAGGCCCAGGGCAGACGGGTGGGGGCTGGGTCATCCCTGGGGGGCTTTGGGGCTTGCAGCCGCGGTGGACAGCAGGTCCTCCTGTGCACGGCTTGGTTTGTGGGGAGCACTTGGAGCGGATCTGGGGCTGGCTGGACACTGCTGGCCAGGACCGGCCCTGAGAGCTTGGTGAGGCTTTGCAGGGAGCCCTCAGCCAGGCTGAGATGGCCCCTCAGGCACAGGGGTGCCCCCACCCCCCGCTGCCTCAGTCTCCAGCTCAGGCCCGGGGAGGCAGAACCCCAGGCTGAGACCTGGGAGGGAGGCCCCAGCCAGGCGGGGAGCAAGCAGGGAGGCAGCCTCAGGGGCTTGCACTCCCAGGCTCCCAGGTGCAGGTGGATTCAGGGACCCAGGCCGACTTGGGGCCCCACCAGGAGGGGGCAGGAACCCCTAGGCTGGGCCAGGCAGCCCCCAGAAGCCCACGTGCTCCCAGGCAGGGACACTGGGGTGCTGGGGTGTGGCGGTCGGTGTCCAGCCCTGCTCCAGCTTGGGCTGAGTGAGGGCACTGGGGTGCACAGGAGGCCATGTGTGGAGGGGGCCAGAGCCCCCACCTGCCTGCACCCCCACAGGCGCTGCTGCGTGTTTCCAGGTGACCTTGGGATCAGCCGCTCCGTGGGGGAGGCGGGGTGTGGGGTGGGAGGGCAGGAGGCAGAGCTGCTGAGTCTGGGCCCAAGTCCCCTCCTGGGGGGGGTCCCGAGGGGTAGGAGCAGGATGGGGGGCGTCCCCCTGAGAACACGCCAGCAGCCCCTGGCTGGGTGGCCTAGGGAGGAAGAGCTCCGGGGGGCAGACTTGGCTGGGTTAGGGCCCTGGGGTCCGCGGCCGGCCCGGGAGGTGGAGGCGGTGGCTTCGAGCTCCCCTAAGCTCCGGCAATGCTGACCTGACTCCAGGGCTCTGGGGGACTCTCCGGAGGCGCCGGGGTCAGCGGCCGACTCCCCGGAGGCCCAGCGCAGGCCCGGGTGTCCCCGAGTGCGGCCACATCTGGAGCCACTTAGCTCCGGGGAGGGAGCGCCCGGGCGGGGCCCGCTGGGGGCCCTGCAGGGCCGGGTGCGCGCGGGCAGCCCGGGTCGCGGGTGCGGAGATGTCGCCGGGCAGGGCCGCCCAGGCGCGAGGGCACCGGGCACCCCGCCCCTCCCCCCTCCCGGGCCGGAGAGGCCAAGCCGGCGTCGGCTTCAGCCAGGCCGGGGCGGGGCGGCCTCGCGCCCCAGCGGGGTCTTCGCGCCCCGACCGGCCTCAGCCGCCGTGGCGGGCGGGCCGCGGGCTCCCTCCTGCAGGCGGAGGCGCCGGCCGGCCCGGCGTGCGGATCTCAGGGCCCCCCTCGGCCGCGCCGCGCCCGGCGCGGACCCCAGGGTGCCCGCAGCCCCGGCCCCGGCGGGGGCGACCCCCGGCCTCCCCGTGCCCCGCGCGGCGGCAGAGGCGGCGCGGATCCCCAACCCTGCGGCCGCCCCCGCTCCGCCCGGCGCGCCCCGCTCCCGGGGGCGGCGCGGCTCCCTCCCCGCTGGGGGCTGCGGGCCGCGGTGCCGGCCCGACCCAGCTCCGCGTGGGGGCAGCGGCGGCCGCGGGCTCCCCGACCGCGTCGGCCGGCCCCGCGGATCCCCCCCCGCGCCCCCAGCCCGCGGGAGGGCCCGGCGCGGTCGGCGGGGCGGCGGGGCGGAGCCCGCGGCGGGCGCACCCGGGGCGCGAGGCGGGCGGCGCGGAGCGAGACGGGGCGCGGCCTGCGGCGCTTTATTGACTGAGTCCGGCTCGGCGCCGCCTCCGAGGGGCGCGCCGCGGGCCGCCGGCCGCGTACAGAGTCCGTCTCTCCCGGAGCCCGCGCTCAGAGGTGCGGCGCGTAGAAGGCGGGGGCGCCGTAGGGCTGCGAGCCCAGCACGAAGGGCGAGAGCACCGCGGGGCTCGGCAGGAAGGGCAGCTGCGCCGCGCACACCAGCCCGCCGGGGCCGTGCGCCGGGTACCCGGCCGGGCCGTGCATGGCGAGCGGCGCGCCCATGGGCGGCGACGGGCTGAGCGGGCTGAGGCCGCCGGGCAGCCCCGCGCCGGGCCCCGCGCCGGGCCCCGCGGCCCCGCCGCCGCCGGTCGGCGCGCTCGTGTCGGCGCCCGGGTTCTGCTTCTTCCACTTGGTGCGGCGGTTCTGGAACCAGATCTTCACCTGCGTCTCGGTGAGGCTGAGCGACAGCGCCAGGTTGAGGCGCTCGCACACCGACAGGTAGCGCGTGGCCTTGAACTTGTTCTCCAGCGCCACGAGCTGCTCGTAGGTGAAGGCGGTGCGCGCGCGCCGCGGCTTCCCGGACTTGGGGTCGGCGCCCGTGCGCTTCCGCTTGGGCTTGGCCGCCGCGCCCGGCGGGGCCGTCCCCGCGCCCCCGCAGGCGCCGCCGCCGTCCCCGGCGGGCCCGCGGCTCCGGGCGAGCCCTCGCGAGGCCCGGGCAGCGCCATGTCGTCCGCGGCGCCGGGGGGCGCGTCGCCCTCGGCCGCGCCGGGGCAGCCCGACCCGCGGGCCCCGAGGCCGCCGCCGCCCCGCGCGTCCCCCGCCGCGGGCGCCTCGTCCTCGTCCTCCGGGTCGGGCGCCTCGTCCCCGCTGCCGGCGCTCGGGCTGCGGCCGCCTCCGCTGCTGTAGCCGTCGGCCTCGGCCTCGTCCGCCTGGAAGGGGTCGCCGGCGCCTGCGGTGGGGCGGGCGGGAGGGAGCACAGCACAGTTAGGACGCGGCGCCGCCCCCGGCCGCCGGCCGCGCCCTCGCGCCCCGCGCCCTCCCGCCCCCCGGCCGCCGGCCCCGCGCCCTCCCGGCCCTGCGCCCTTGCGCCCCGCGCCCTCGCGCCCCGCGCCCTCCCGCCCCGCGCCCTCCCGCCCCGCGCCCTCGCGCCCCGCGCCCTCCCGCCCCCGGCCGCCGGCCCCGCGCCCTCCCGGCCCCGCGCCCTCGCGCCCCGCGCCCTCCGGCCCCCGCGCCCTCGCGCCCGCGCCCTCCCGCCCCCCGGCCGCCCCCGCGCCCTCCCGCCCCGGCCGCCGGCCCCCGCGCCTCCCGGCCCCGCGCCCTCCCGCCCCGCGCCCTCCGGCCCGCGCCCTCGCGCCCCGCGCCCTCCCGCCCCGCGCCCTCCGGCCCTGCGCCCCGCGCCCTCCCGTCCCGCGCCCTCCCGGCCCTGCGCCCTCCCGTCCCGCGCCCTCCCGGCCCCGCGCGCCTCCCCGTCCACCCGCCGGGCCGCGGCCGCGTGGCGCGCAGGGTGCTCGCCAGTGGAAGCGCGATCGATGTGTGGGGCAGATACAAACTTAATTAAACTCATTGTGTGTAATGTACAAACTAGTTAACGGCCATTTAATTTATTTCGGCGTATATTACCCTCCGATTACAGCAGGGCTGCGGGCGGCCAATTACTGGCTGAAAGGCCTGGGCTGGGGCGGGAGCCCGCGGGGGGCTCGCTGCGAAGCCCAGCCCCGCCTCAGCGCCCCGCCCTGGGCTGCAGGCCCGGCAGGGCAGGCCGGCTCCATCGGGGAGCCGGGGCCCAGCAGACCCGAGCCCACAGGGTGAGCATCCCGCCCCAACAGGCCTGGTCTGGGCACCAGCCGCGTCCTCCAGGCGCCGTGGAAGCTGCATTTTGAGCCTCAGCAATTTGGAAGAAAGTACCAGTCTTGGGCAGGACCTGGGGGGACATTGGCAGCCCCCACCCCACAGGTGATCTCCGGCCGGGAGAGAAGCGGAGGCAGAGCCCAACGCAGCACCGGGCCGGGCCGGTCCCAAGGCCTCCCGCCGTTGTCAGCAAGAACTTGGGGGAATAAACGAAATTTCCTCGGGGGTATGAGCAGAGGGTGCGGGGAGATAGGCAGAGTGGAGGGCATCTCCCCCCAGCCCTGGGGCCCTGCCCTCCCGCCTCTGCCCTGCCCAGGGGTGGGTGAAGAGGGCGACCTGCCTGCTCCCTCCCCGACCCGCTAGAGGCAGGGCCTTCCACGTGGGATGGCCCCCAGCTGGCGCCCCGGTGCTGGGGCTCCCTCCTGCCCCCTGGGTCTCTCCAGTCCCCTGCTGGCCTCTCTCCCTCCTCCCACCCTGGAGACGCTGGACCAGGTGCCCAAAAGACCCCGGCCCAGTCCTGCCGGCGCCTCTCCGGTTTCTGCGCCACGAGGCCTCCAAGTTGGAGGGCGGCCGGGGGAGGGGGCACCGAAAGCAATCAGGAGCCGGTCGAATGCAATCCTCGATCAATGGCGGCCCCTAATAAGTGTAATAGGTTTTAATCGAGTAATTATCCGAATTTTGACCCTATAATTTAGATGTTCGGGGGGAGTTTGCAAGGTGCTTGAAAGAGATATGCACGCTGCGGTAATGGGATATCGACCGGGCCGGGGGCGCGGGCCGCCCCATTACCAGCCGCTTTCCGCCGCTAAGCACATTTCCCCGCAACTGTAATCGAAGGGATTTAATTGTTTTTCCAGAGATAACCAGCGTTTTGTCACAATTAGTCTGATTTGTCAAAAAAAAAAAAAGGAGGGGCGGGAGGGAGGCCTCGGGCCTGCGGCGGCGCGGGGGCGGCCGCGGGGGGCCGCGACCCCTCGGGCAGCAGCCGCCCTCCAGCGGGGAGCCCCGGGCGGGCAGGCCCGGCCCGCGGGAGCCGTCCGGGGGGCGCGGGGCGCGGGGGGCCCGGAGTCCGGGTCGGGCGGCGCCGGCGAGCGTCGCGCGCCAGCCCCGCGCGCTGCGAACTTTGCGCCGCCTGTCGGCGCGGGCGGCGGGGCCGGGGCCGGGGCCGGGGCCGGGGCCGGGGCCGCGGGCGCGGGCGCGGGTCGTGCCCCGGGGGCGGCCGGCTCTCCCCGGCCCCGCGGCGGCGGCGCGCTCTACTCACGCGGCGGCTCGGCTCCGGGGGCCGCTCCGGGTCCTGCGGCGCCGGCGAGGGCGCGGCGCTCCGGCTCCTCCGCGCGCGGCGGGCGTCCGGGGGCGGCGGGCGCGGGGGCGCAGGGGGCGCAGGCGGCGGGGGCCAGGGGGCCCAGCAGCACGCAGCGGCGTCTTCTGCTGTTGAACTTGTTGGGGTCCAGGATGTCCAGCACCGAGAAGGAGGTGGGGCGCGGCGGCGGGCCGGGCCGGGCCGCTCCGGCAGCCTCCGGCGCCGCGGGCACCGTGTCGCTGGCCGCCAGCGGCGGGGCCGCGGCGCGGGGGAAGGCGGGCGGCTCCGCGCGCCCGTCCATGGCGTCCCGGGCGGCGGCGGCGGGCGCGGGCGGCGCGGGCCCCGGGCCGGGCCCCGGCGGCGCTGGCGGCAGCGCGGGGCCGTCCGCGGAGGCCGCGGGGCCGCTGGCGCTCATGCCGGCCTCCCGCCGCTGCGGCCGCGCGGCTACTGCGCTCCCATCCCCGCGGCCCTGGCGCCGCCGCGCGGCCTCGCGGCCCGGGGCTCGGCGGGCTCCCCGCGCTCGGCCGCTGCTGCCGGGGGCTGCTCCGCCGCCTCAGGCGCCCGGCGCGCCCGGCCCGCGCATTTATGGCGGCCCCGCGGCGGCGCCCACGCGCCCACCCGCCGCACACACGTGCGCCCGCCGCCGGCCGCGGGGCGCCGCCGCCCTCGTTAGCGCGCGCGCCTAATTGGCTGCGGACGGCCGGGCGGAGGAGGCGGGCCCCGCGCGGACACACGGACGGAGCCCCGGGCCGACCGACAGACGCGCCGCCCGCACCGCGCGCCGCCCGCCCGCGAGCGCCTCGGCCAACGGGCGCCCGCCTCCCGGGCGGGGGAGGGGGCCCGGCTTTTAAATAATTGCGGGAGCAGCCGGCGGGGCCCGCGGGGGCCGGGCGCGCGGGGGCGCGGGCGCGGGGGCGGGCGGGGGACCCTCGCCTCGCCGCTGGCGTCTCGCGCGGCCCCGGCGGCTGGGGCGGGCGGGGCGCGCGGGCCACTCCCGGAGGGTCGCCGCCGCCGTCGGGGGGCTCCTCTCTCGGGGTCTCCGCCCCGGCACCCCGCCCGCCTCTGGACCGTCAGGTCTGGGTCCGACCCGGGCCCCGCCGTCGCGCGCTGGAGCGAGACGGAAACGAGAGGCCGAGCGGCTCCCACCCGCCCTCCAGCGGGGCCGCAGTTTCGTGGGGAGGGCCGGGGCGCATCGGCGCCCGCACTCTCCGAGCGGGGGGAGTGGGCGGCCGCCCCGCCCGCGCCGCGAGCGAGAAGCGCCTGCCCGGGTCTTTATTCCGCACGTCCGCCCCCTGCCGCGCCGCTTGCCCGGGGCCTCGGGGGAAGCCCGGCTCCGGGGCGGGCCGCGACGGCCCGGGCGCGCGCCCTCCCTCCCCAGGCGCGCCCCGGAGCCCGCGGCGCGGGGGGACCCGGGTGGAGGCGCGCCGGGAGCGCGCGGCGGGGGGGTGCGCGCGTGCACGGGGGCTGCGCGCCGCTCGCGCTGCGGTCCCGGGAGCCGCTCCTCGCGCAAGGACCGGCCCTTTGCAATTACCGCGGGCAATGATCCTTTGGAAGCAGAAATTAAAAGTTGGGAGAAATAATGGGGGACCGATCGGCTGTAATTTGGGCCCAGCTTGGACCTGCTGAGCCTCCGGGAGGCCGGGACTGGGGTGGGGGGACCTCCCCTCCCCCGCGTGCTGGTCCGTCCCGAGATTCTAATCAGAGCCACAACGCTGTGTCCTTCCTTGCCAGGACTTGATTATTCTTTATCTTTAAATTATAAATCACCTCGGGGGAAGGAGGGTGGATAATCTCTCATCACAGGGAGGTAATTATCTCCTTCCCGCCCCCATCTTCCTGGAGGGACTCTCTCACCCCATCCCCCGCTAAGTTTGAACACAGATGTGCACACCCCACTCACGCACACTCACACCGTTCACACGCACACACCACGTAGATATGCAGGTCTGCGCGGGAGCACCTGGGCCCAGCTTGGTGCCCACAGATGCACTTACACCTGCAGGGGGGGCTGCTGCCCCTGGGTCAGTGCAGGCTTTGGGGGCTCTGGGTGTCGGTCTCGGTGGGTGCCGCAGCGCACCACCCTCCGCGCACTCGGGGCTCCACGCCACCGAGGGTCTGTCCCCCGCCACGGGCAGCCGGCGAGGTGCAGATGCAGCAGGCATCCGCAGCCTCCCCCACCCCTTGCGCTCCAGGGCCCTGCGGGTGAGAAGAGCGTGCGTCACCCACGACCCTCAGGAACAGACATCGGCATCTGGAGCGCAGCGTTGTGTTGGCTGCACAGCGCGCATCGTCCTCATCAAATGTCACAACTGCGACCTCGCGGGGCACCCGGCACGCTGGCCTTTGGGACTGGTGGCTTAGACCAAGCCCTGGGGCTGCCCTGCAGTTTGGGGGTCAAAGCTTCTGCTCCCTGGTCCTTCCCTCCCCCCCTGCCCTGCAACACTCCTAGTGGGGGCTGCGGTCTGGGCCGGAGCAGGGCCAGCAAGGCGGGGTGAGGGGCCTCAGAGCTGCCTGGGACTTCCAGCCACTCTCAAGGGAGGGGATGACATGTGCCAACAGGCTCAGCGAGGAGAGGGCATGCCCACCCCTTCCCTGTCTTTACAGAGCAGCTCCAGTCACAGAGTGCACAGGCCTCTTCTCCCAGACACCCACACACCCCCTGCCCCTGCCCAGCCTCAGCCCAGAGTGTCTGGGGCTATAAAGACGTCTTTTCACTCCTAATCACAATTGATTGTCAATTAGACCCTCATTTGTGCAATCTTTGCCCATCTGCCATAACGGGTTATCTCCAAGCCACCGGCTTCACTTGCAGGGCCCCAGGTGGGCACTGACAGGTGAAATCAGAGCCTGGGAAGGGGATGCCTCTGCCTCCCCGGGGGCAGGAGTCGCCCTTCCTTGCCAAGCCCCAGCCGCTGCACATGAGTTGGGACCAGAGGGGCCGCTGATGGTCTTGGGCGGGGGAGCAGCCAAGACAGGAGCCAAGCGAGCAAGGGCAGAAACGGGGGGAGGGGCGGGCGGCAGATCTTAGAAGAGGACCAGGAAAGGGATGGGGACCGCAGAAGTGAGACCGTGGTGGGGAGGGGGGCTTGAGCAGCATGGGGGAGAATTGAGCCCTTTCCAGTACACGACTGGTGTCCCCTCCCCATTGGTTTTGGGGGACAGAGGACCCCTGCTGCTAGCTCATCTTGTGTGGACGAAGCCCCTCAATGTTGTCCCCTGTCACCTGCGGGGGCTGGATTCCATGTGACTTCTAGGGTCCACGCGCCCTCGCTGCCTGGGTCGTGGTGACATTGGTCTCTGTATGGGAGCGGCTTGGGGCCTCTCTTCTCTCGCACCTGGACAGCCTTGCTGGACAGCGGGGTGCACTTTCCATGTTTTCCTCGTGCAAGAAACACCCCACACCAGACCGCCTGAGGCACCTGCAGGGCAGGGACCCCGTCCCCATCTGCGAATTAGTGTTTCCATCCTCGGATTGGCCCGTCTCGTTGCTAGCGGGGCTGCGGGGGGGGGGGGACGCCCGCCTGTGACCTGTGGGAAGGACGCGGGGGCAGAGGTGGAGGGTGGGGACGGCGGCGCCTGCGGTGCTTCCCGTCACTCACCGCTCCCCCTTTTGCTCACCCAGAGCTGGGGGAACGAGTGGGAAGCTTCCGCTTGCTGCTCCTTCATCCATTCTCTCCGCGTGTCCCTGCCTGAGGTCCTCCTGACTCTTAGAGAGAGGGAGTCTCGTGCCCGGGACACAACAGAAGAGGGGGCAGAGCTGCCCACTGTCTGCAGAGCCCCACAGCCTTGCCCCCCAGAGCCCCGCCCGCGCTGGCCGCCGCCCGCCCGCCCGCCCGCCCGCCGGCCGCAGGGAGTCTTCAGCACCGCGGGCAGAGCCAGGGCGCCGCCCCGGCCGGCAGGACCACGGACAGCGCCGCGGGCCCGCGCCCAGCACCGCGGACAGCTCCCCGCGCCCCGCCCCGCGCCCCGCCCCGCGCCCCGCTGCTCCGACATCCGGTCCCGCCCCGGCTCTATCCCCCAACTTCGGACACCCCAGAGGAGGAAGGGGGCCAGGCTGCGCGTGCCTTGTGGAGTCCTGGGCACCTGGCTCAGGCCGGCCCGCAGCCCGTCCACTCGCCACGTCGGAGCCAGCAGCTGCCACAGCGCTGGGGCCGCCCCTGTTGGGCTGAAGCCCCCCGATTCGTGAGAGAGCTGCCGCGGCCAGGGCGAGAAGCAGCAGCCCAGGGGTTCAGTCAGCGGTGCAGGGGTGAGCTCTAAATCCCTTAAACCTAGAAACAGCCACCAAAGGCCAGCAGTGGGCCGCCTTGCGCTGGTTCTCCGGTTCTGAGGGTGGAGGGTGGGCGGCTGCTCCCAGGGCTGTTAGGATGGGAAAGGGTGGGGCACCTTTTGGGGGGTAAACTGCTGGGGAGGGTGCTCAGCACCCCCCAGCAGGCCCGCGGTGGAGCTTTGATGAGAACTTTGGCCCCTGGTGCCAGCGTTTCCACGCGCTGCACGACAGCCCGAAGTCCAGGTGGGCACCCCTGTCCCCCACACTGCTCCTTGCCCCCCAGCCTCTGCCCACCACTGGTCCATCTTGGAGAGGCAGTAAGTAGGGGCGCCCAGTGTTGACCCTGCCGGGGCTGCCAGCGTCCAGGCCTGCTGGGAAAGCCCCATTCGATCAGAAATGCCACAGACGGGCCAATTCAGCCACCGCCCTCCCTTCACGCTCCCGCCCCA